ATCTCCAGGATGGACGGTTGAGATGGACCATCGCCTCCAAGAGCCGGTTGTTGAGGGGTTTGTGGGTTTCTTTGAACAGTAGCAGGTTCTAGGCTCGTGGGGCACCTGACAACACCAGAGACCCACCTGACGTTTCCACGTTCTCATATGTAAGAAAAGAACCGTGGTGGCGCACGCCTTTAATCCCAACACTCGGGAGGCAGAGGCAGGGGGATCTCTGTGAGTTCGAGGCCAGCCTGGGCTACAGAGTGAGCTCCAGGACAGCCAGGAATGCACAGAGGAAACCCTGTCTCGGAAAACCAAAATAACAGTAATAACAATAACAATAAAAGGAAAAAGAAAAGGAAAGAGCCACAGGCAGAGTGGGTCCTGCTCGGGCTCACTGACTCATGACTGCCGCGAGGAAGAGGACAATTTTATAACCATTTTCCATTTTGAAAAGTGACCTGTGTAGACACTGTATGTAAATAAATTTTAAAAGTACCTAAATTCTGTAAGGAAGAAAATCTTTAAAAAGCCTTTTTTTTATGCCTTTTTAGAACAATAAGAAGTCAGCAAAATTATTGAGCCGTATAAAAACGTATAAAGGAGTTTTAATAGATTTTTTTTATTGATTGCTGCTCGTTTTTGCCTTTCCTAAAATTGGACTTCAACTGGGTTTCTCGGTAGTCTGATTTTTAAAGCTTTGCATGTTGCTTTTCATTTCAATAGATTTGATGAATCCAGAGGTGCCCTGATACTTCTCCACTGGGGCCGTTTTCTGCCATGTTGAGGGAAATCTCTGGAGTGGAGTTATAGGAGCAGAAATACCATTTGGGAATAGGAAAGACCCTCCAGGCTTAGCCAGAGAGTCGTGATCTTAAGATGCTGGCATTCCAAGGGTGTGCCACAGACTGGATTCATGGTCCTTATTTCCTAGGGGAGACCCTACCTCCAGATAAAGGTTGATTTTAAAAAACAAAGAGCATGCTTCTCTGTTTTTCTTTCTTTCTTTTTTTAAGGGAGAAAGCATTTATTTTAGCTTACAGTTCAAAGTATTGTCCCTTATAGTGGGGAAATGAGGGCGGCGGGGCTTGAAGCAAATGCTGACATCACATCCACAGTCAGGAAACAGCTCTCCTCCGAGTTTTGGTTTTGTTTTGTTTTGTTGATCAGGGTCTGGCTATACAGCCCTGGGTGTCTTGCAACATGCTGTGTAGACCAGACTGCCTCAGACTCAGAGATCTGTCTGCCTCTGCCTCCTCTGTCTCATTTTATGTTTTAATTTCCTTCCCCACCCCCACCCCCAGAGGTTAGGCATTGAAAAGACTGACCCCACGACACTGACGGATGATGAGATCAACAGATTTGCAAGACTGGATATTGATCCAGAAACCATTACGTGGCAGAGAGGTATGTACCCTGCCCAGGCTGCCAGCCTCCCATGCCCCCAGGATGCCCCACCCCCCATTCAGGTTGCTGTCCAGGATATCCTTGCCAACCTTAGCCACTGTGTAGATGTCCCTTTGTGGGGTTGGTTGAATGTCTTGCTGTCTGTTCGGTGTTGATTAAAATGAGGGTTTCAAGGAAGTTCATGCACAAACCAAAAATAACATTTTTTAAGTTTCAATTTTATGCAGAAAGTTTTGGTGTCGTGAAGTGGGAAAATGATGTTTAATCACTTGAATCATGTGTGCTCTTTATTCTCAGAACTCTTCTGGCACCGGTGACTTTATTTTTCATCTGTCTCTTCAGCCTGCTCATCATTCCTCATTTTATTAACTTGTCTTGTAACGCTCGTCAGCCTTCAGCTTTTCAGACGTCTGCCTGACTTTACCGCCATGTGTTGCCTTTCTCTGTGTACAATTAGCGGGCAGGGCTTGGGATTTTATTTTCTGCCCACCTCCTTTGTCTCCCTGCAGAGAAGAAATTCTCATCTGGTCATGCAGAATGCACTGTAAGGCCAACTTCTTTCTTGTTTTTATTGGCACAATAACTGTCAATGTCCTGTTGAGTTGGAGTTTCTGTTTGTTTTGATCATGTAGCCCAGGCTGGTCTTGAGTCCTCTCTGTAGCCAAGGTTGACTTTGAGCTAGCCCTCTTGTGTCCATGTCCCTGCTGGGATGACAGGTGTGGACCACCATCCTGGCATTTTAAAAATGACATTCTTTAAAAAAAATTTTTTTTTCTTTTTAAATTTGTATGTGTATGAGTGTTTTGGCCTTCATCTGTGTCTATGCATTACATGCATGTAGTGTCTACAGAGACCAGAAGAGGGCATCAGATACCCTGGAACTGAAGTTACCCACAGCTGTGAGCGCCCATGCCTGTTCTGGAACCCAGGTCTTCTGGATGAGCAACCAATGCTCTTGACCTCTGAGCTATCTCTCCAGCCCCCCAAAATGACATTCTTAATATGAAAAACGATACTGGCATTTCTCCTCTTGCCTCAAAAGCTTTAAGCAAATGCTGCGATGTTTTAAATTTCTTAGATATATTTTTATTTATCCTGCGTATGGGTGTTTTTCCTGTATGGATATATGATCACCGTGTCCATGTCTGGTACCCAAGGAGATTGGGAGGAAGCATCAGATCCCCTGGAACTGGAGTTACTCTGGATGCTGGGGAGCTGCCATTTGAGGCTAGGGACTCAGCCCCACTCCTCTGCAATAGCACAAAGTCCTCTGCACCACTGAACCATCTCTCTGGACCGACCCCATCGCAGTATTTTTAGAAGAAAACAAGCTCCCCATATGTTATGAGAATTTAACACGTTGTTTAATCATTTACTTTAGCATGTGTGTGTATGCGGGGGTTATTGGTGTGTAGAGAGAGTGTCTTACGATGTAGCCCACACTGACCTTGAACTCCTGATTCTCAGCCTCTCAAGTGCTAGGATTTACAGGCATGAGGCACCACCCCTGGCTATTTTTTCTTTCCTGATGCTCAGTGGCTTGTTAGAAAGGAAGCAATTAGGGAAGAGCCAGTTGGAGACCTACCTAATAAGATCTATATACCTCGTCTCCCTGTGCCTTCATGTGTTAACCAGCCTGGAAACTCATTGTTTTATACATGTAAATCTGCTGCTGCTGCTGCTGCTGATGATGGTGATGATGATGATGATGATGATGATGGTGGTGGTCGTGGTAATGATGCTGCTGCTGCTAAGGATAATGATGGTGGTGGTGGTGGTGATTTTTATAGGTCTTTACCTCCATCCCTCAATCCATGGGGTGGAGTCAGTTTCTCTGTAGATGGGGTTGAAAGTTCCATCCCTCCAATCGCTTGTCCTTACTGGTCACCGTACCCCTTCTGAGGTGCTCTGTCCCTTTAACATTCCAAGGGCTCTAGGAGACTTGTGCCACGAACCCATGGCAAAGATGAAATATGTTTCCTTGGATCCTGCACATAGGAAAATCAAATGTAGGAGCCCCCTAAATAGCACACAGTAACTAGTCCTGGGAAGTGAGGTTTGGATTGGTTGGTGGCCAACCTTTCCAGGTTCCCTGAAGTTATACAATTGGGTATATATTCTGTCATCACGAGAGAATGTGCTAAGAAGAGGCCAGGCCTGTGGCTTGGAGTGTTTCACAGGCATTTGCACTTGGTCTGAGTGGATGGCCCTTGTGTGGGCGTATGACCAGTGAGTCACCCCACAGAGCAATACACACCTTAGCCTTTTCAAAAACGGGGTTGCTCTGTTTTTGTTTTTCTGCTAATATAGAATGTGCTTTGAAATGGAGTCCAGAATTTATAGTTGTTTGAATTCTTTAGAAGGAATGAAGTTCAACCACTCCACATTCCTTTGCTTTAAGAACCGGAGCTCTACATTTCTGATGTGTGCTGTTTCTTACACTGTATTCCTCCAGCTCATCATCCACTTTGAAATCAAGTATTAATAGGCCATCGTTAGGTTAGATTTGTTATTTTAAAACTGTTGCTAAACTGCACACGCCTTTAATCCCAGCACTCAGGAGACAGAGGCAGGTGGATCTCTCTGAGTTTGAGGCCAGTGTGGTCTACAGAGCAAGTTCCAGGACAGCCAGGGCTACACAGAGCTACATAATAGAGAGACCGTGTCTCAAAATCAAAACAGTAACAGCACACACACACAAACACATACCAAACAAACAAAAACCCCTCTGCTGCTCCCTTTAGCTTTGTGGTCCCTCCATCTTTGTGCAATTATGTATTTACTTTTGAGATAGAGTCATACCATCTAGCCCAGGAAGGCCTTACATCTGAGGCCGTCCCGCCTCCGCCCTCAGCGTCCTGGCCCTACAGGCATATGCCATCTTCCCTAGCATTGTGTTTCTTCTTCTCTTCTTTCTTTCTTCCATTTTTTTTTGGCGGGGGGTGGGGGGCATCAACCCGGAGTCTCCCCGGTGCTAGCCGGCACTACCATCGCACTGGATCTCCATTTATTTACGTATCTTTTCTTAAAAGCCGTTCCTCGCCCTCCCTTTCCACTGTAGTGCTGGACACCAACGACAGATTCCTGAGGAAGATCACGATTGGACAGGCTCCCACGGAGAAAGGCCACACACGCACGGTAACTGTCGGCACCTTGTCTCGGTAATTGCTGGGCGGGAACTAGCTCTGGCCGCTTCCCTCCTCCTCCTTCTCCACCCCTCCTTTGCGACCACAGCGGCAGGTGCTCTTCTGCCTTCTCCTTTTTAAAATGGCAGTGAGTGGGTGTGGCAGTGAGTGCTCTTGACAGCGTTGGCAGCAAATCCATGTGTCACCTGTGTGGTTTTCCCCGCACGCACCGTTCTTTCCTGGAGGTGGAGAACCCCAACTGAATAGTCTTGCATGTAAATTAATCAGAATTGCTCCTCTTCTGTGGCCGTTGGGTAGTATGTATCTTCCGCATAAGAATGACTACCTGTGGTGTTCCTTTTACATACATTAGGGAAACTGTATCCTGTATGTAACCAACTGTAACCAATTCACAGGGATAAAATAATAGCAGATTGGTCGTGCTACAATTTGCAGAGGCAGTAGGAGTGCAGGAAGGGTCTCATGTAGCTCAGGCTGGTCTCAAACATATAGCTGAGGATGACTTTGAATCTGATCCTCCAGCCTCCACCTCCCAAGTTCTGGGATTATAAGCCTGTACTACCACACCCATTTTATGAGGTACTGGGGATCGAACCTGGGGCTTTGTGCATGCTAGGCAAGTTCTTTGCCCCAGTGCTACAACCCCTAAAACATTGAGCTTCTTCTTTTTTTTTTTTTTTTTTTGGTTTTCGAGACAGGGTTTCTCTATGTAGCTTTGGTGCCTGTCCAGGATCTCGCTCTTGTAGACCAGGCTGGCCTCGAACTCACAGAGATCTGCCTGGCTCTGCTTCCTGAATGCTGGGATTAAAGGTGTGTGCCACCACCACCGCCACCGGCTAAAACGTTGAGCTTTTGATTACTCTAGGCATCTGAACAATTACAAATTTTGACTGCTGAAAGATTATTTAGATAGTTCTGTTTCATCCTTGTTAGCTTCTGGTTTGACACAGACACTCTGCCTTTGTCTCTTTGACTGCCCACAGGCCCAGTTTGATATCTCTGTGGCCAGTGAAATCATGGCTGTTCTGGCCCTCACTAGTTCTCTGGAAGACATGAGAGAGAGATTGGGCAAAATGGTGGTGGCATCCAGTAAGAAAGGAGAGCCCATCAGTGCCGAGGATCTGGTAAGTGCCAGGCATGCTGGGGTCTCTCTGTGATTATTGAAAACAAAATTTACACTCTTCTTAAAATGTTATGATTAACTCATTAATTGATTTTGCTCATTGCAAAAGTTATGAAAATTTTTTTTAAGTTCTTCATAGTGAATGATGGCAGTGGTACTGAGCTTTGTAAGGGCCACAAGTGCAGGGTGATTTGAATGATGCTTTCACCCTGCAGGGGTCTTCCTGAGCAAGCTGCAGCTAGAGTTTGTATGGAACACCTATCATCCAAGTGTCGGGTGTTACCTCAGTGCCTCCCTGTACCACTTGGCCTGGAAGGACTCATTGGCCAGTTTGGTTGATGGTCTTCTGGTTAGGTCTTCTTCTGTTCTGTTTTGTTTTGTTGTTTGTTTGGTTTTTGGTGGGTGTTTTGGTTTGGTTTGGTCTTTTGTTGTTGTTGTTGTTGTTACCTTTTCTTTAGACAAGCTCTCTCTATGTATCTCTGATTGCCCTGGAACTCAGTGCAGACTAGGCTGGCGTCAAACTCACAGAAATCCTCCTGCCTCTGCTCCCAAAGTACTGAGATTAAAAGTGGTCGCCACTATGCCCAGCTCTCTATGTACATGATATAAAATTTGAAATAAAACTCCTTAAAGAAAATCTTTTTCCAAACAAGGTCTCAGCCTAACGCTAGCTTGCTTGGAACTCATCACGTGGCCCAGACTATTCTCCAGTCAATAGCAGTCCTCTTAGTTTAGCGCCTGCGTCCTGGGATTATAGCACAGGTTCTCGACCTCGCCAATGCTGCGACCCGTTAATACGGTTCCTCATGGTGTGGTGAGCCGAAACCACAAAATTATTTTCATTGCTACTTCATAACTGTAACTTTGCTACCGTAATGAATCGTAACATAAATATTTTTTTGGAGATAGAGGTTTGCCAGAGGGGTCACGACCCTCAGGTTGAGAACCACTGGATTACACTCACGCGCCACCACGCCTGCTTTAGATCAAAATTTGAAAGGCTTGTTTGTATCAGCACACACCAGCATAGTTGGTGTTATGGCAGACGGATTTAGAAAAGGGAGGAAAATATGAACTTTGTTTTCACAGTTGATAATGTGTTTTAAATTTTAACACCCAGACCGTAAATTTAGAAACACATTAATGTTGAATACAAATGAGAACCATCGCTTAGTTTTCCTTTGCTGGGGGTTTGTTCAGTGATGATAAGAGGGGGAGCTGGATTTAGGAGTCAGAATTAGGCTTCTGGCTAGTAGTTTAGCTTCCGCTCTGGGAAACATACATTGAATTCCATTTATGCCCATTTCTGCTCAGATACCAAAGTTATAAATAACTCATTGCTGTTGGAACTAACATATCTACTCTAAACTGGTCTAAATGGAGCCCCCACATCGGCCAGCCGCAGAGCCTGATTGAGACGCTTGTTTCCAGCGCCGCATGCGTTTTCAGAAATTGTATGAGAGTGCCATTTTCACTCTGCTTCCTCTCCCCGCCAAGATAACTGGTGCCTTCCTAGTGCAGCGGGGAAAAGTAAGCACTAAAGATGAATGGCTGAGATTAGGAGTAAGCTCTAATTGCTCCAAGATGGTCCAAATGAATGAGAAGCCCCGGAGTGCTGAATTTTGGTTTCAAGAGACTGGATTTCTGCTGGCACGAGTTGATGCTTCATGGGCTTGTCTTGCAGGGCGTGAGCGGGGCACTCACAGTGCTGATGAAGGATGCAATCAAGCCCAACCTCATGCAGACCTTAGAGGTGAGCTGGGTAACTCCTGGGGCCCAGAACTCACTTCCTCTGTTCAGAGCCAAGAGAGTAGAAAGCACACTTCCCTTGTAGAATCAGACACCTTTCATCTTTTTTTTGAAAGATTTTAAAAATCTGTTTGGTATAGGAGCGTTGTGTGTGCCCCAGTATGCACGTGGAAGTGAGGGGACGGCTTGGTGGGGTCAGTTCTCTCCTGGTACTTGTACTTGAGCTTTGGGATTTGAACTCAGGTCTCCAAGCCTGTAAGGCAATCACTTCTGCCCAGTGAGCCATATTGCCATCCCATAGAAGCCTTTTCTGTTGCTCATCTCTTTCCTTACTTCCTTTCTTACAGTTGTAGGGAGGGGGTGTTCTAAAATAATATAAAATAAATGGCTTTGGAGCTGGGGATATAGATCAGCGGCATAGCATTTACCCTGGTATGTAAGAGGCCCTGGGTTTGATTCCCAGCACAGCCACAGAAAAGGGGTGTAGCAGGCTTTCTTGGACCACCAGTCCCCAAATCATAACACGGAGACTAATTATTAATTTTGAATGCAGCCTTAGCTTAGGCTTGTTTCTAGCTAGCTCTTATAACTTAAATTAACTCATTTCTATTAATCTGTGTGCTGCCCTGAGGCTCCTTGACCTCATCTATGTACTGTTCATCCTGCTTTCCTGCTTCCTCTGTGGCTGGCTGGCTGATCCCCTGCAGTGGCCAGGGCTGACTGGCTCCCCTTTTCTCTCTGCCCACCAGCCCCACCTATCCTTCCTCTGCCTAGCTATTGGCCAATCAGGTGCCTTAGGCAGGCAAGGTGAAACAGCAACATATCTTTACATAGTTAAACAAATGCAGCATAAATAAATGCAACACATCTTTACACAGTTAAACAAATGCAGCATAAACAAATGCAACACATCTTTACATAGTTAAACAAATATTCTATTCCACAGCAAAGGGGGTGGCCTGGTGTTTTTCTTCCTGGAAGTCTTTTTTCAAACTCCAGCCCCTTCCAATTCCTGGCCCTTTGGCTACTGTGAAGCCGAGTTGGCGCGTTTGCTCACGATGTCTTGGTTTCCACAGGGCACACCAGTGTTTGTCCATGCTGGGCCCTTTGCCAACATTGCACATGGGAATTCCTCCATCATCGCAGACCGGATTGCGCTCAAGCTCGTTGGCCCCGAGGGCTTCGTAGGTGAGTTCTTGTGCCTCCTCCCTCGGTGGAGAGACTCGTGTTTCCTTTAATGTCATGGAGTGGCGGCGGTGATTTTACAGATGCTCGTCTTCCTTGCAGTGACTGAAGCAGGATTCGGCGCAGACATAGGAATGGAGAAGTTCTTCAACATCAAGTGCCGGTATTCTGGTCTCCAGCCACACGTGGTGGTGCTCGTGGCCACTGTCAGGGCTCTTAAGATGCACGGGGGCGGCCCTACGGTGAGGATCAAGGAACCGAGGGAGTGGTTGTCAGGAACGTTCTAGAGGCTCGCAGGAAATTCCAAGACTCGTCCCGGGGTCGGCATTCCATTACACACATTTATCCTCACGATGGATAGGGAGCCAAAGCCAGGGATGGCCAGATAACTCCTGTACAGGCCACCTCACCCTCAGGGGCAGATCCCCTAGCAGCATTTTAAGGGGACCCACACTGGTTTTGTCACCTGCCTATCTAAACCCCTCCAACGGCTTGTGCTTGGCCTTACGGACAGGAAACTCCCTGTCAACCTGTTCTTTATAAATCTGAATCCCATTTTGCTTCTTGATGTTGACACTGGCAGCCAGCCAGCCGACGCTGCGCAGAAGTCATTTGTGAGCCGCAGTTCTTGCTGACAGGGCCCTGATAGAGCCTGTGGTGAGCTGGTGGGACTGCCAGAGGCAGGTGAAAGAGAATGGCAGGTCGCTCAGGACCAGCCGCTGGTGAGGGAAAAGGTGGGCTCGCTCAGGGTCAGCTGCGTCCTGGACTTGATGTGTTTTCCTGAACTCCCATTGCTTAGAAACTAATACTTCTTAGTCTAGTATTTTCGCATCTCTGTTGGTTGGCTGGTTTGCTTTTTGAGGCAGGATCTCACACTGTAGCCCTGGCTGTCCTAGAACTCGCTCTGACTTAGAGAGACCCTCCTGCCTCTGCCTCCCGCGTGCTGGGAGTAAATGTCGCAGCACACCCGGCTGCTTCACACCTCTTCTTCTTCACACTAAAGTGTAAAGTTGCCTGTACTGGTCAGCGGCCATTGTAGTGTTAAATTTCTGTTCTTTAGGCATTGGTGTTGCAACTTGGGGAGCAAGAGCTTGACTCTGTCTCTTGGTGCAGCGACGCCCATTTGTCTAATAGAGCAGTTCTCGGATGTTTTGGATTGTTGTGTGTTTTCAGGATGGGGGTACACTGGGGATTGAACCCAGAGCTTTGCACACACCTGGCAAGTGTTTCACTACCAGGCCCTTAGAGCCTTTTGTACACTTACAAATTACTGAAGGCCTAAAACAGCTTTTCTTTATAGGAGTTACAGCTCTTAGCATTTAGTGTATTAGAACTGAGTTGCACAGTAACATACGTAGTTTTTTAAATGAGAAGTGGCTGTATTTTTCTGAAATAAAATACAGGCGCTGTCTATGTCCTCTCTCTTCAGTCTGGTTCACTAGAGACAGTGGATTGATTCTCTTCTGCACGTGACCTTGTGATGTCCCATGGCACGTAACCGTTGGAGATTTCATGGTCCACTCAGTGAGAGATCGAAGGCCCCATTAAGGAAATCATTTTGGCCTTGGGTGCCCTACCCCCCACCCCCCACCCCCAGGTTAGGTCCCCAGACTGCACAGGCTCTTTCCTAACTCACGTGGCCCCTCTCAGCCCATAGTCTAGTTGCCCCTGAGATAGGAAAGACTTTCCCAACCTTGGACACCCCTTCCTGCCAGGAATGCTAGCTAGGCTGTCTTCGTCCATGCTAGCCAGCATCCCCTGCTCACATGCCCTTCAGTCATTATCCTCACACCATAGCATGACCGACTTGCCTGTGGCCAGGATAGCTGCCAATAAAGCCCCACAAAGCCTTAAACTTACTAAAAATGTTGAGGGTTTTTTTTTGGGGGGGGGGGTGGGTAAGATTATTTTTCCCTTTTGTAACTCGATTGTGTAGTTCTTGAGTGAGAAGTTTGTAGGTGACAGCATAGTGGCAGTGTCAAAAGGTTGGACCGGCCTGGGAGCCTCACTGTGGTGACGCTGGGCCCCTCCCCTGGCAGTCCTGCGAGGAAGCTGTGCCTGTACAGCTCTGTCGGGGAGCCAGACCAGTGGGCAGCTGTGCAGAAGGTCACTGCTTCCTGCCTGTCGTCCACGTGGCCCTTCTAGGGTCATAGTACTGTAGACTGGACACGCAGACCTCGTCTTCCTGCAGAGTAGAAGACCCAGCGAGGGGCTTTTGAATCACTGTGTGTTGTCTACAGTGGCAGTGCATCAACCCTGAGCCCTCTGCATGTGTGTACCTCGCAGCAGAGCTGAGCCAGTTTCCAGATCAGGCCCCAGGCCCAGGCCCCTCCTCTAGTGACAGTGAGTTCATATACCGCTGTAGAGTTCATATACCTCTAAATCTACTATGTAGAGGGAGAAGGGCCTCCACTGTCACCCCTGATCTCCCCCTCCCCTCTTGACAGAGGGTCACATAGCCCAGGCTGGCCCCCACCCCCTATGTTGATGATGACCTTGAACTGATCCTCCTGCCTTTGTCTTCCAAGTGCTAGGGACCGAGACCTCGGGTACCCACTGGCTGTTATCTGCCTCTTATTTGTTCAGTCATCCTTGCTCAGCCCCCACCCACCCCTCCCCCCTCCTGCCAAGTCCTGAGCGGGTGGCGCTCTTCGCGGGCCTGACCTTAGGCATCCATAGTGACCTTGGCGGGGCTGGAGGCTCTCTTTCCCCCCTTTACTTCCATTCCACTGGTGTGAGCTTCCTTCAGTGGGATCACTGTCCTGCCACAGCGTATTCCTGTCCACCGTGGCCTTCATCCCTCGTCTCGGTTCACAAAGGACCACCCCTGGGCTCACAAGCAGCCATTGCCCTGTGCTTTACGGTCTCACGCTCCAAGTCCTTTGGGCGGGAAACAGCTTCACGTGGCCGGCGGCCGTTTATTCTCTGAAGCGTGCAGCCGCTGGCCTCTCAAAATGGAAGCACACCTGACTTTGTCTCCTTCCTTCCAGGTCACTGCTGGACTGCCTCTTCCCAAGGCTTACACAGAGGAGGTAACTATAATGATGTCTGAGCACTTGTCCTAGGAAACCACACCCCAAATCAGCATGTCTTAATCTGGCCATGGAGAATAAGTCACTCTGACCCTGGGCTGTTCCTTGGGATTGGGAATGGGGGGTGACAAAAAAAAAAACCCTTTGGTGCACTGGAAATCATACCAGAGAAGTAGCAATAAGTAGAATTGGCCCAACCAGGATGGCAGGAAGCCCTTGTCCTAGACCAGTGTCTGGTTCTCACCGCTTTACTCCCAGGGAACATTTGGCTGTATCTGGAAGCCTTTTTTGCTGTTTGTTAGAGATAGGGTCTTGCTATATAGATCAGGCTGACCTTGAACTCCAGCCCCGTAAGTGCTGGGATCACCCCATACCCAGCTAGAGAGAGTACGACTCCGGAGGTGTTGCTGGCATCTGATGTGTAGAAGCCAGGGATTGTTGTTAACAGCCCGGGGTGTGTAGCGCCCCCCCCACCCCCCCACCCCCTAGTGATTAAAATGACAGTAGTACCAGAGTTAAGTAGCCATGCCCTAGATGATGCACATTTCTTTCCTTCATTGTCTTTCCTGCACCGAATAAGTCCTAAATGCTATTTAAATCAAGCCAGGAGAGACCTTTAGAAGTAACATTTTCTCTACAAACGCAAAGCTGAGTTACAGACCCCAGACACAGCCACTAAATGCCTCGGTTGGCTTGGCAGGCACATCTTCCATAAGCTGATTTGGTCTACTGGGCAGGAGCTCAAAGAACAGTTCTGAGCTCTTTTTTTTTTCATACTGATATCATTTACCATCAAAGAAACATCCCCAGGGTCACTGTGAGTGCTTACGTAAGAGACGGGCCCATGGCTAAGATGCAGGGTCAGCCACTGTCACTGCTGATTCAATCTCTCTGTCCTTGTGGAGACTTCTCCGTTATCAGGCCGTGCAGGCTCAGTGTGCAGCCCCCAAATGAAGTTTGTGAAATTGCCCAGGAAAGAGCTGGTTGGTGCCTTGAGTCTGCCTGTCTCGGGAGCTGGGACTTGCCTTTTATGGTCATCTGTGATTCAGGCGTGGGAGGGGAATTCACAGTTCTGACCCTCCTGCCACCCCACAGCCTTTCCTGTATCTAATTGCAGTTGAGTGCCCTACACTAGCCCAGCTGGTGTCTTCATTTAAGACATTCAACTTATTTCAAACTGTTCTCGGTTGGTCTTATGTAGTAATTGGTTTTTATGTGGCTAAAGGTAAGAACAGTTAGAGGGCTCTTTAGACCATCAGATAATCCCGATCTCGGATTACAGTTAAGGGGGGCGGGGGAGGTCTCGAACAGTGTTTATAAGGTCTCACTTTATAACCTCCCTACTTTTCCTGCTGCTTTGGGCATCTAGAAACCGGGTAGGGGGGAGGGAGTGGGAGGAGAGGAGGGAGAGCAAACTGCAGTTAGGATGTGAAATAAATTAATTAATTTAATTAAAACAATAACAACAACAACAAGTAACAGTGCTAGGTTTTCCTAGTGATCGAGCATGTTTCTATGAAGACAACCACATTGATTGATTGATTGGTTGGTTGGTTGGTTGGTTGGTTTTTCCTGAGATGTCTTGCTTTATAGCTCTGGCTGACCTGGAACTCACTCTGTAACCCAGGCTGCTTTGAACTCACAAATATATGCTTACCTTTTTTCTCCTGAGTGCTGGGATTAAAGGTGTAGGCCACTACACCTGGCTACATGTTTTATTTTTAAGAGTTCTAATATTTTGAGGTTACAGTTATTTTATTTTGTTTTGCTTTAGTGCTGGGGTCAGGGCCAGGGTCTCATGCATGCTGCTGTGTAGTCTTACTGCCCTTAGTGCATTTTAAATGATATGCCCTTTCTTTACAAAAAGAAAATTAGACGCTATAAGAATAAAAAAAAAAATTGGGGCTGGAGAGATGACTCAGCGGTTAAGAACACTGACTGCTTTTCCAGAGGAGCGGGGTTCAATTCCCGGCACCCACACAGCAGCTCCTCACAGCTGTCTGTAACTCCAGGATCCGACAACTTCACACAAGACATACATGCAGGCAAAACACTATGTATATAAAAATAAGTAAATTATTTAAAAAAATGAAATAAAGAGTTATCCTCTCCCACCCACCCACCCCCAAAAAATTAGCTGGGAGGTGGCGGCACACATCTTTAATCCCAGCACTCGGGAGGCACAGGCAGGCGGATCTCTGTGAGTTTGAGGACAGCCTGGTCTACAGAGTGAGTTCCAGGACAGCCAGGACTGTTGCAGAGAAACCTCTGTCTCCTTGAAAAAACAAACAAACAAATGTAACAAAGTTGGAGTTTGTTGAACAGTTGTTACATATTCTCGTGACCGGAAGTAGCTTGGTTGGTAGTGTGGTTGCCATGCAAATACGAAGCTTTGGGTTTAATCCCTACTACCCCACCAGGCCAGGCATGCCAGTGCACTCCTATAATCCCAGCACTTGCAAAGTAGAAGCAAGAGAACCAGAAATTCAATGTCGTCCTTGACTATATCGCAAGTTTGAGGCAAATCTAGGCAACATGAGACCCTATGTCCATCCATCTATCTATATCTAGATAGTTTTAAATCCTTGGGATACACCTGGTGGGAGAAGAGAACTGACCCCTGCAAGTTGACCTTTGACCTCCACACTCATGCCATGGCACACACAAAGGGACACACACACACAAATAAATGTAATTGGGGGGGGGGGGGGAATTAGCTGGATTTGGTGGCCCATGCCTTTAATCCCAGCACTTGGGAGACAGAGGCAAGCAAATCTCTGTGAGTTCAAGGACAGCCTGGTCTACATAGTAAGTACCAGGCCAGCCAGAGATACATAGTGAGACCCTGTTTCAAAAAACAAAAGGAATTAAATAAATAATAATGTTTCCACAAGTATCTTTAAGTTTTAGATTTTATAGTATTTGTGGGGATGTGTATGGGAAGCGGGATATGAGAATGGAACAGTACACTACCCAGAACAAACTCTTATTTTTAAGATTGACTTATTTTATGTGTGGGACGGTTTTGCCTGCTTCTCTATCTTTTGGTCCCCTTGGGCTCCGTGTCCTCAAGTGCTGGGCTGTAGGTGTGAGCCACCACAGCTGGTTCATGTGGTGCTGAGGGTCCAGCCCGGGGCTTCATGTATGCTGAGCAAGCCTCTGCCAGCTGAACCAGAGCCTCAACCTCTACTGTCTGTTTTCAGGGTGGTTTTGTTGTTGTTTGTTTGGTTGTTTGTTTTTTGATCTGTTTGTATGTGTATGTGGGAGTGCCTACATGTATTTATGTGCACCACATGCATGTCTAGCCCCCTCAGAGGCAGAAGAGGACATCAGATCCCCTGGAACTGGAGTCACGGGTGGTTGTTAGGACCCTCTGCAAGAACAGCCAGTGCCCTTAACTGCTGAGCCATCTCTCCAGCCTTGGTTTTTCTTTTAGAGGCTTATTTTTATTCATGTGTGTCTGTGTGCATGCATGTGCATGGGGGGAGGGGATGCCTGAGGAGACCAGATGACGGTATTCCTTAAAGGTGGAGTTAAGGCTCTTATGAGCTTCCTGACTTGGATTCTAGATCCAGACTTATTTCCTCTGTATGAACAGGAAGTAGTACTCTTTTTATTTTTACTTACTGTTATTTTTTTTGAGACAGGGTTTCTCTGTGTAGCTCTGGCTGTCCTGGAACTCACTCTGTAGAATAGACTGGCCTCGAGCTCACAGATCCTCCTGCCTCTGCCTCCTGAGTGCTAGGATTAAAGGCATGTACCACCACACCTGACTGGAAGTAGTACTCCTAACCACTGAGCTATCTGTCCAGTCCAGTACTTGGGCTTTCCAACTAGTGTTTGCCTTATTTTATTAGCCTTGGGAAGGCTCGTAGTTGAGTTCATTAAATCCTCTGGAACTTCACTGACTTATTGCAGGACCGTATTTATGGCTGTTGGGTATTAAATGCCTTTAGGGTCAGGACCTGTGCCAGGCTCTGTCTTGTGATCCAATGGTTTGCACAGTACTGAGAAGAGTCTCATTGTCTTGTTGCATTACAGGAGTTAATCTGATGTGTCAACACACAATTATAAGTGTAATTTAAGTGGAGGCATCAAACTCATGCCCTTCAAACAATAAAGAGGACATTCATAGGCTGCATAATGATGTCCGATACCCCAGCTGTCCAATTTTCAAGGTGTAGGGAGACAGCACAGCTTCCCTCCAGGGCTGTACGGTCGATCCTCCCTCCGCCAGAAGCATTGTGGGGTGTGCATCAATGGCCTCCTGTTGGCCCACCTTCTTGCCCTCGCTGTGAATGTCTTCCGGCTCAGAGACATGCTGTCCTTTTTTATTTTATGCTGTTTGTTCATTTGAGACAAGGATTCACTGGGTACCCAGGCTGATCTCAACTTCTCCAGCCTCTACCTCCTGAGTGCCGGGGTGACAGATGTGCCCTGCCATGCATGCCCCGGGGAAAGCTTCTGTCTTCAAAAGAAGCAGCAGCTGTTTGCAGGTCTGCTGGCTTTGACCTTACAGGCCTTTTGCTGTTGTTTTACAGGACCTGGACCTGGTTGAGAAGGGCTTCAGTAACTTGAGGAAACAAATAGAAAATGCTAGGATGTTTGGAGTACCTGTAGTCGTGGCCATGAATGTATTCAAGTAAGTGTGAAATCTAGCTAAAGGGGGAGTGTAGAAAATGCTCCTGGGGCATTTAACTTCATTTTGTTCTTCACTTACTGCTGTTGGTTATAGCTTGTGGTTTGGCCTGTGACGAGACAGGCACCGTGTGTGTGTGTGTGTGTGTGTGTGTGTGTGTGTGTGTGTGTGCGCGCGCGTGCGTGCGTGCGTGCGTGCGTGTGCGTGTGTGTATGTGTCACGGCAGACGCTCTACCTCACCACTGAGGTCCGGAAATCAGAATTGCTCCTGAGCAACGGGAAGAACACCCGAGCTTGACAAGAAATGTTCTTTCTGGTCGTTCCAAGGCCTTTTGTCCTAACAGAAGAGCATAGCCTACAGCCTGTCTTTATTTCCCTGGGTCAGGTGGGATGTTGTGTTGAGGGAGTTGGATGTATTGAGCTAGAAAAGTGTTCATGCAAGCACTGTGTGGGCTGTTTGGCACTTTCGCCCTGTTTAAGGTTTCAGAATAATGGCCCTCTCCGCAGCGCAATGGGAAGAAGCAGTTTTTAAAGCTAGTATTTACTGATTCCCGGTGGTGCCCTGGGAATGTTCCAGATACTTTGCATGCATTGCTGTCTAAGCCTCATAATATCCCGGGGCAGCCCTGCCGTGATTCTTTCCAGTTTTTCCTTGTGGGAGCCAAATAAGTACAGATGAAGTAACTGGCCAGAAGTTAGCCCAGCCCATTGGTTACAGAGCTGAGCTTGAAACCAGTGTCCATTTTTTCAGGCGGCAATCCGTGTGGGGCTTCCTAAGCCAGATCTGTCTCCCTTCCCCACCCCCTTTAACATGAAGCTCTCCTGTATAGGACAGATACAGACGCTGAACTGGACCTCATCGGCCGCCTCTCCAGAGAACATGGGGCTTTTGATGCTGTCAAATGCACCCACTGGGCAGAAGGGGGCCGGGGGGCCTTAGCCCTGGCTCAGGCCGTTCAGAGAGCATCACAGGCCCCCAGCAGCTTCCAGCTCCTCTATGACCTCAAGGTGGGTTACTTGCTGTAGGTAACAAAGCCAGAATGGCGTTTGTGTGAAAATGAACTCGGTGTGGTAACTGGGGTGTAGTCAGCAGCATCTACCTCGTGGTCTGATTCCCTCCCGGGTGAGTCACCCCAGCCGCAGCCTGGACTCTCAGCTTGAGACATCTGTCTGACAAGCACAGGGGACTGCTCGTTTGCAAGCAGAACTGCCTGGAGAGCTTAGCTCACACCCCACCTTTTTAAAGCTTGCAGACTTCACTACGGCCTCAGCCAGGTAGGAACGAAGGGGCTGTGTCTGGCTCTGGAAATTTTTCTGACCACCTCTCAGTAATAGAGCAAAGAAGAGTGCTTGCTCCCAAGCCCACTTCCTGGTATAGTGTCGCCCCAAGTTCAGAGAAGCCTTCCAAGCCCAAACCAAAGGACCTCCACAGGCTTCGTCATATTCTCCATCATTGAGTCAGGTGACTTACATCTGGCCTGGCAGAAGCAGCTTATCCCAAGTTGCCTTGAAGAATGCTGTTCCCAGGGTTGAATTTCAGGGTGCGATTGGGTGTTAAGTCTGTGGACAGTGATTGGAAACTTGGTTTGGAACGCTGGGTGTACACTGTACTTCATTCTGCTTGCATGCTCTAGGCTCCTTTTTCCTTGGGTTCTCAAAGACGATCAGAGACTTTGGGAATTAGCCACAAAAAAAGAGTGAAGCCCGGATTCGATGGCTCAGTCAGGAAAGTGTCTGCCACAGAAGCATGAGGACCTGAGTTCAGGTCCACAGCACTGCGTAAGAGCCAGATATGGTAGTGCGTGTCTGCAAGCCCAGTGCTGGAGATGTGTGTGTCTCTAGAGTTGGTTTTCAGCCGGTGTAGCCAAGTCAACGAGCTGCAGGTTCAATAGAGACCCTGACTAAAAAAACAAAGGGAAGAGGGATTGAGGAAAGATACCCGAGGTTATCCTGTGGCCTCCACCTGCACGTGTGTGTGCACACGCACACACCCACCCACACCCACCCACCCACACACACACACACACACACACACACACACTCACTCACGAAAAAAGGAAACTATTATTTTAACTTAAAACATTTCTGCCTTTTCTCTTTGCACTGTGCAGATAGAATACATGGGGAGTTAATTAGCATTCTCCTGTTGAGCGTTGGTTTTGTAAATGGGTCTGAAAATCTGTTCGAACAATCACCCTTCTAGAAAAAGCCATAAACATAGGTGCACACAAATGAAAAGCACTTGTGGGGCCCTTCTCCAAGCCGCTGTCCACGGTGCCCGAGGCAGGAGCCCTAGACCTTCAGGGCCGGCAGGTGACCTGCAGTGAGGGAAGGACCTCAGAAGCCTTTCTCTTGCGGGAGCTCTTCCCTCCTCTGGCAAACAGGAGGCTGCCACTTCTTGTGTTATTCAGCATCTGTGAGTCTTAAATCGCCCCTCAACCAAAGTGTTTTTGCTTCTGAAGTTCTAAATGTGCCTTGGCATTTACCAAGCTCCAATTATAAGCTGCATATGACCGTCATCTGCAGCTTCCTAAAGCCGCTCCCGAGAGCGCTTTCACGTCTGTTTTACGAAGCGCCCTCGGAAGTGGTCACTGTTTAGTAAAAAGTCAAGTCTGTGTTTTTATAGGTAGAGCGTTGCACTTTTTAAAATCTGCCCAATATATTCATTTAGCCTTAGTTGCTAAGGAGGAGAAAACCCAGTATGTGTAGTGTTTATATGTGTGTGTGTGTGTGTGCACATCTACATATCTATATGCATACAGAGACAATAACTGTATCTGTGAGATATTTTCCACTTAACCAAATCTGGAACTTTGTATTAAAAGGGTTCGGTGTGTCAGAGTATTTGTGGCCAACCTGATGAGCTGAGTTCAGTCACCAGAACCCACGTTGCTGAAGGACATAGATGACTCTCTTAACTTGACCTTTGGTCTCCACCCAGAAACAATGAGAAATGCATGCCCATGTGCTATACACACACAATAAATAAATAAAGAGGCTCTTTTAATTCCAAGAAAATGTTTCTAACCCAGGGCTGGAGGTGTAGCTTAGGGGGAGAGTGTTTGCCTAGAACAGTTGCTCTCAACCTGTGGGTCTTGACCCCTTGGGGGTTGAATGACTCTTTAATGGGGGTCACCTAAGACCGTCAGAAAACGCAGATATTTACATTATGATTCATAACAGTAGCAAAATTACAGTTATGAAGTAGCAACAAAAATAATTTTATGGTTGAGGGTCACTACAACATGAGGAACTGTATTAAAGGGTCACAGCATTAGGAAGCTTGAGAACCACTGGTCTAAATGATACAAGACCCTAGGTTTTATTCTCACCACTTCCAATAATCAAATTAAGTTAAATATTTGTGACCCCCCTCCCCCAAAAAAAACCTCAAGTTATTTGCATACCTGTAGTATATAAAATGCAACTTGTATCCCTTTTGGGGACACTGGCCTGGAATGTGCTTGCCAAGAATCCTCATATGTGCCCAGTCACAGTTCCGTTCTCTCTTGTACATCAGCTCTCCGTTGAGGATAAAATCAGGATCATCGCACAGAAGATCTACGGAGCAGATGACATCGAATTGCTCCCCGAAGCACAGAACAAAGCCGAGGTCTACACAAAGCAGGTAGGCGTTCGGAGTCTGAACCCTGAGCTTCCCCAGCCTCCTACACTGCACTCCTCCAGACAGCAGCCTCCGCTCCCAAGATACTGGGTTTGGGTTAAAAGTCGCAGCCCTAGATTCTGTATTTACTTATGGGTGAAGATCTAGACAAGCCAGGAGGAGTACGGAGTGTTTTGCTGGAATGCTGAGACGCCTCTGTAGTGCCTCATCTCTGCTCCAGATACTGTTTTGTTGCTTATAAGGACGCAAATCCAAGAGTCATTTGTAGAATATAGTTAGGTACTTTCCTCCTTCCCTTCCAGGGATTCTTTTTGGTTCTGGTCTGTGATAACTAGGCTGAAGGGGTAGTAAGGTAGAGGTGGCTATGTAGGGAGCTAGCCATCTCAGTCTCCTAATGGTGTCCAGATATGCTTCATTGCATAATCAGTGTTTCCTGTGTCACACCCTTTCTCCCCCCAGGGCTTTGGGAATCTACCCATCTGCATGGCCAAAACACACCTGTCTTTGTCTCACAACCCAGAGCAAAAAGGTGTGCCTACTGGCTTCATTCTGCCCATCCGTGACATCCGTGCCAGCGTTGGTGCCGGTTTTCTGTACCCCTTAGTGGGAACGGTAAGTAGAGGCTGTAAGTGGAGCGCGTGTAAGTGGTGACTGAAATGTGTCACCCGGGCTGTCAGAAAGTGCCAGGTTGCCGTAGTCTAGCAGAAAGTTGTGATTAGGCCTCTCTGGGTTAATCCTGGTACTGATATATATAGATCATGCAATACCCATTCAAGTCTAACACCGATCCTACCTCTGTTGAATGCAATTCTGTTTCCCAGGGGCAGTTTGCTCTTGATTGTGTCCAGAATGGATCTAACTGGCCTTGGGTGATGCCAATATTCAGTCTGCTCTCTGTGTCCATGAGTCAGCATTCACTGATTCAACCGTCTGTGGATTGACAGTAGTAGTTGGGTATGGTGGCACATACCTGTAACCCCAGCACTTGAGATGAGGTCTGTTGCCAGTTGGGAGCCAGCCTGGTCTACATAGTGGGTTGTGGTTCAGCCAGGCTACTTAGAGAGACCCTGTCTCCGTACCCACCGTTGGGTGTGTCCTACTTGCTGCTACTCTTTGGGAAGTCCACAGTCCATTTGACTTTCTCTCACCTCATCCTCCTTTTCCTGTTAATCTTCTTGCTTAGGCCTGTATTAAAATATCTTTAATGGGCTGAAGAGATGGCTCAGGAGTTAAGAGTACTGTGTGCTCTTTCAGAGGTCCTGAGTTAAATTCTCAGCACCCACATGGCAGCTCACAACCATCTGTAATGAGATCTGGTACCCTCTTTTGGCCTACAGGAATACATGCAAGCAGAACATTGTGTACACAATAAATAAATAAATCTTTAAAAATAAAATAAAATGTCTTTAATAAAATCCCTAACTCAGCTTCCAAAACAAAATTGCTAGAGGAAAAAAAAAAAAGTGTCTCTATTAAGTATGCATATCAGCATTAAAGTAATGTGTAACAGCTGTTTATATAGCTTTTAAATTGTATTAGATGTTAAAAGTTGTCAAGAGGTGATTTATAGGGGATGTGTGCATAGGTTATGTGCCATATTAGACCATCTTAAAAAGGACTGAGTACTCAGATTTGGAGATCTCTGGGGTCAGAGAAAGCAACCCCCCTGGGGAGAAACTGCCCTCACAGTTCTGTTGACTGAGCGTGTTCTATAAACCCAGTCTTCCCTGTAGCCCCAACAGCAGAGGCTCTCCCATCCCGTGTCTTGCTAATAGACTTAGAGCTTCTCCTTATGTCCATGTTATTTTGCCTGCAAGTACGTCTGTGCATCATTTATGTGCCTGGTGCCCAAGAAGACCAGTAATGTCGGATCCCCTGGAACCAGAGTTACAGGAGGTTGTGAGCCACCATGTGGGTGCTAGGAATCAAACCCAGGTCCTCTGGAAGAGTAGCCAATGCTCTTACCCACAGAGCAACCTCTCCATCCCATTAGAATTTCTTCTTGAAATTCTGTTAGGTCACTGTCCTTGAAATCAATTAAAATACCAATGGATAAAGCTAGGTGTGGTGTTAAGCTGTTGTAATCCCGCACTTGGGAGGTGGAAGCCGAGAATCAGGGTTTCACCGTGTGGCCCAGACTGGCCCCAAACTTGATATCCCCCTGCCTCAAGGGCTAAGACTGCAGATACATGCCAACCTAGTTTCTTAAGACAAGATTGCTCTGTGTAACCACTGTGGCTGTTCTGGAACTCGATTTGTTGACCAGGCTGGCCTTGAACTCACAGAGATCTGCCTGAGACTAAAGGCATGTGCCATCACCGCCCTGTAATCTTTTTTTTTTTTTAAGCAAAATTGACATTTATTAAAGAAAATGTTTTATTATAGATTTAAATGTGGACAGTAAGAGAAAGAAAGAAGTCAGGCAGTGGTGGCACACGCCTTTAATCCCAGCACTGCACTTGGTAGGCTGAGACAGGCAGATCTCTGAGTTGAGGCCAGCCTAGTCTACAGAGTGAGTTCTAGGACAGCCAGAGAGCTACACAGAGAAACGCTGTCTCGAAATGAATAAATAAATAAATAAATGGCAGAGAGAATAGGAAAAGGCAGTATTATGCACATCTGAGAGTAGGCAGGTTTTTCAAGAAAGTCACCTTAATTCTTTTTTTTTTTTTTGAGCTGAGGATCGAACCCAGGGCCTTGCTCTTGCTAGGCAAGCACTCTACCACTGAGCTAAATCCCCAACCCTCCTTAATTCTTCTTAATGATTGTATTCTAATACGTCCTGGTGTCCGTGGATGTAATTCAGTGGCTGAGCACTTGCCTGGCTAGCACACCCAAGGGCCTGGGCTCAGTCCCAGCACAGCACAACACAACCACCAAATCCAAACAATCTTAGCGATACCTTACTGCTATTGGAATTTCAGCATCTAGGTTTGCATGTGAGTACACGTGCCATCATGGGTTTGTTTTTTCTGATTATCAGTGACCCGTGTTTACAGGGGCAGATCTTCCTCTGAGAAAAAATAAAAGTTATGAAATTGCTGTTCTAAGGAACCATCTCGAGTTTTCTGTGAGCACACACATGCATGTCTGGGTCAGTGTCGTCCATCCTTTACCTTTCTAGTGCTGTCTGCTGGGTTGTTCTGAGCCTGAAGACCAGATCTCCCCTTCCCCTACTGCCCCCCCCCCCACGCACCCCTTTCTTACAGAATGCATTAGTGGAATCCAGTTGTCAGATCCCTAGAGCTTGCCTTGGAGACTATTGTTGGGTGCTCAGATGTCAGCATTTGGTTTTCCTCAAATATTGATGTTTTGTGTTATAGAAAATGACTCATCTAGTTTATGACATTTTTATAGTGAAGTTTTAGGACTTCAGTCTGAGCTGTCTTCCTTTCTGGGTCTGCTCTGGAACGTGTGTATATTCATTATAGAGGCAGTATGACGGGGGAAAAAATACCACATTTTCAGTTACAAACCATACAAATTTGCAGATAAGTGGCAAAGCCAAGTCTTCAGAAAAGGAGCAAGCACAAATATAGCGCCGAAGATTCGGGTTTAGCTTTAGAAAGCCTGAGATCGGTAAGAATAGAGACCGTAAACGCGTCTAGGCTATATACAGCAATGTCTTGGCCCGAGTTAAAGGATGTGGATTGTAATGCCATGTCACTGCAATCCCAGAAATCACATGGGCCTCTACGCGAGATTCACTGAAAGAAAATTGCACAACAGACGCCTCCTCTGGTTGCTTGGTTTAGCTGTCTTGAGAGATGGTTTTGCTAGGTAGCCCTGGTTTGTGTTCAACTCACTGTGTACCCCAGGCTGGTCTGAAGCTTTGACAAGTCCTACCTGAGCCCCCCCAGTGCTGGGGTTACAGGGTGTCCCACCTTCCTGTGGTCATGTGGTCCTCGCTCACTGCCTCAGCCATGAGCTGTTCAGCTCCAGCACCTGCCAAGGCAGGCTAGGGAAGGGACCGTGCTTCCCCTGCCTCTTCAGCTACAGCTGTCCTGCACAGGATCCGAATGAGGCCTTCGGCTTGCAGAGGGACATGAGGGTTTCTTGTTCATATCAGGAATCAATGGCTGGGTTTTTAATATGTACCAAGAACAGCACCTCTTTCATTGATAACTTAAAAGGTGTGTCTGGTTCTGTGGCTGCTGCAAGGCACAAAGGGGAGTGAGTCATTATATTGTGTGTGTATCACAGTAAGCATGTAGCGTTCAGAGGATCACTTGAACCAGCTGATTGTTGCCTTCCACCCTGTGGGTCCCGGGATCAAACTCAGGTCATCAGCTTTGGCGGCAAGCACCTCTACCCACTGAGGCATCTTGCTGGTCCCTGAAGTTCATTTGTACTGCTGTTTTATCTCTCAGATGAGCACAATGCCTGGACTCCCTACCCGGCCCTGTTTTTATGACATCGATTTGGACCCTGAAACCGAACAAGTGAATGGATTGTTTTAAACAGGTGAGCTGTTACTGGGCAAGAGTTTCCTTGTTTGCTTTTATTTTAAAATTACATTTATTTATTTGTTTACTTCATGGAGCAGGGAGGGATGTGTGACTGGTGTGTGTCAGGGTCAGAGGGGTCAGTATTCTCCCACCATATGGATCCTGGGTTTTCAGCTTCGGTAGCAAGTGCCTTTACCAGTTAAACTGTCTTGCCCTGCAAAAAGTTTGGGCTTTCTTTCTTTTTTTTTTTTTTAACTTTGAGATTATTCATGAATTTTTTTTTTTTTCCAAGACAGAGTTTCTCTGTGTGGCTTTGGAGCCTGTCCTGGAACTCACTCTGTAGCTCGGGCTGTATTCATGAATTTCTAAGGCTCGAACAAAGTCTACAAACACTCAAATTCTAGTGATTTCCAAATAATCCTTTCCATATTTCACTGAGAGGAGGTAGTCAGGAAAGAGAATTAACAGTAATCGATGAATGAAATGTTCCTCATCAGTCTGGAAGAGCAGGGCTCCATGCAGGAGGAAGGGCAGGGAGATAGGTGCAGCCTAGTCACCATAGAGCCTGCAGGGGTGTTAACTCCCCTCTGAAGGAGCCCCATGAGGCTTGGGGTTCAGAATTGATGACCTAGGAGAAGCAGGAGCAGCCCCAAGTCCGTTGTATAACTTGAAAAGACAGAAGCCAGGTGGTGGTGGTGCACACCTTTAATCCCAGTACTCAGGAGGCAGAGGCAGGCAAATCTCCAAGTTCAAGGCCAGCCTGGTCTATAGAGCAAGTTCCAGGACAGCAGGGCCACACAGATAAACCCTGTCTCGAAAAACCAAAAGAAAAAAGGAAAAGAAAAGATAGAAGGCAAGCATTGGCTGGGGTGTAGCTGATGGTGGAGCTAAGCCTGTGTGAGAGCCGTGTTTGGCCCCCAGGAAAGCACAGACATACACTCACAGAGACATTAATTGGGTAATCATTCAGAAAGCAGAGAAAAGAAGGAGCAGGACCAATTCTGGAGTTCTTGGGCCCTGCATAACAGGGCCCCAGGTACTCACCTGTGTGACGCATTCAATTCAGATCTCAAAAATGTCAAGCAGGAAAATCCTCAGCATCCCTCTCCAAGGAATTAAAAAGCAGCCTGCCTGTGAAAGAATGGCCTGTGGACTGCCTGTCTGGAGCAGCCAGGGTGTTGGTGCACTCAGGGCCATGGAATGAGAAGAGAACAGAATGCCTGTCTTATCAGCAATAAGGAGCTTTTAAGGAATGTCCCCAAGTATGTGAGGGGAAGATAGCTTTCATCCTGTGTTTATCCCTGGCCAAATCTGCCAAGGTATTTTCAGACGGCCAAGGGCTGCCGCCCCCACTTCTGCTAGGAAGGTATTTAACAATGTGGTGTACTCCAGCAAAATGAGGAACTAAACCAAGAGAGGGAAAGATGGGAGTTTTAGGGAACTGGATTTGGACAGTAGTGAAGGGGTTCTCACAAGAGCACACGACTGAGTTTCGGATCTAGTACAGAACATGGGGGGAGGCTGGAAAGAGCTGGGAGACCCTGGGGTGGTACCAGGTAGTAAAAAAGCAAACCTCCTGCCCTGAGAAAGTGAAGGTCCAGGTGGCAGGATGTCTTCATTCTGACCACTGTGAGGAGGCTTAGGGTTTGGGCGAGGGAAGAAGCACTTGCTGCAGAGTGGGAATGTGCTATGGGACTTGTCCTGGCTCCCTGCTCAGTGTGGCGTGGTATTCACACAACCATCGTGCTACGGGTTGTCTTTCAAGTTCATCTGTGGACAGACCCTAGAAGAAAGACTCACCCGGAGGGAAGGGTGTACGTGTGAACAGTTTTGGAGATGCAGCTGGACAATGATGAAGTGTGGAAGGGAAGAGGAAACCACAGTGCTTAGAGAAAACATTCATTCATTCATTCATTCATTCACCTTGCTTTTCTTTCCAGATTTCCTATCTCCAAGAGGCTACTCTGTCCGGCCAGTGTCTATTCAGGCCCATTGAGGAAGTGTGCAGAAATCCAGGAAGTCAGCCCCTGCCTGAAGAGCTTCAGAAATAGTGGGAGTTTCCCTAAAGCCTTTCACAGCCTTAATTCACATCGTGTGTATAAATTAACATAAATCATGTCTATTTACTTAGTGAAAGTCTAATGGATATTAATAAATGGAATAATTTTGCTACCTTGGTGTTGAAACGTGAATGTGTCTGTGACATTGATGGACCTCGGTAGAATGAGCCAGGCGGCGGTGGTGCGCATCTCTCTAATCCTAGCATGGATCCAGGAGGGTCTCTGTGAGTTCGAGGCCAGCCTCGTCTACAGAATGAGTTCCGGGACAGCCAGGGCTACACAGAGAACCTGTTTCAAGAAAACCAAAAATAAAGAGTACTAGAATGGCTGCCATCCATCCACCTTACAGGAGGCACTTTGTCGTCAGTTGTCGGGGTGGTGCTGGCTAGTGTAGTTATCTCCGTGAGAACGTAACTCAGGAAACCTGGGAGGGCGGGGGTAGGGTATGGAAGGAGACGTCCCTATTTGATACCTTCCTGGTCTGGCTGAGGTCCCCAGGGAAGCTGCTGCCTATATGGATGCTTGACATCTTTGGGATCCCATTTGAATCACTGCCTTAGTGCTGTTGTCTTTTGTTACTGTGTGTGTGTGTGTAGATAGGTAAGTGGGTAGATAGACAGATAGATACAATTTTTTAAGTTAGTATACAGATCAACAGATTTCTAAGTGGGGTTTTTATATACGTTATTTTGGTTGGTTCTCCCCGTCCCCTCTCCCCCAACCCTCACCTTTTCCCTCTGGTGTCCTCCCTTCCACTGTGTTCTGTTGGCATCCCTACCCCTCTCCCATGGACCCCTTTCTAGTTTCCTGACCTTTGCCCTTATTTACTCCCCACCCAGATACACGTATTTCACAGTTACAGGCTAGAATCTGCATGTAGCAGAGAAGAGGCTGCCATTTGTCTGCTGAGCATAGGATACCTCACTTAAATATAATGATCCATTTTCATGATTTCATTTTTCTTCATGGCTGGATAAAATTCTATTTTATGTATGTTCCACGTTTTAATTATCTGTTCTGGCGGCGGCGGCGGCGGCGGCGGCGGGCATCTACACTGATTCCATTTTGAGTCCTCAGGGACGACAGCACCAGCTTCCGGTGGGCCGTTTCTGCCCCGCTGGCTTAGCAAATGTTTGCTAGACTGCGGAGATGTGCCTGGGCTCCACCTCTCCGTGCGGAGTGTCTTGGGAGCATTGGTTCGTCTGAAGTTCCCAGCATGTCCTCCCTTCTCTTGTCCCGTGTCTTCTGTTCTCCTCTCTTCCCGCATTGGCTCCTTCCAGATGCTGCGTCCCCCTGGTGCCAAAGCTAAACACTGCAGATGTGGACGGAGCTCTGTTTTCCCAGGTGTCTTTGCTTCTGGTATACTTAATTCGATGGGTTCGCACCGGTGTTGTGATACGGATTCGTGGTCCGAAGAAACAATGGCAGCACTTTGGGAGGCCAATGACAAAGGAGTCATGAGCATGGGCCTCAGTGCCAGTCCTTATTGCCATGTCCACCTCTCTGTCCCCTCACCCCCTCCCTGTCCCCTCACACCCTCTCTGTCCCTCACCCATTTTATGGAGATAAAGGGGTTATTGCTGCTTCCTCACGGGTAGTTCTGAAGTCAAGCGAACAAGTCCTAGGTGCTCTGTACAGTGCCTGACACATTTGGAGTGCTCATTGCTGTCCCTGATAGGAAGCATCTTTCTGGTAAGCCTCAAAATAGTCTATAGAATACCATCTGGGATGGGATTTGCTAGGAATCAGTTTGTAAACAAGAAGGAAGCGATCTTACAAGACACAGTGACTGAGAGACCCTCTTAAAGGATGCAGGCTTCCTCCATACTGCCAAACTTTGGGGAAGTAGGTCCTCAGTACTGGGGAAAACAATGAATAAATGAATATAGTGGCAGGAGAGAGATTTAACATGATAAAACCCTAATGCAATAATAAATCAAGTTCCCTTTTTTAAAGATCGAGTAGTTTTTTAATTCATTTTATTTTCATATATGTGGGTGTAGGTACCTGTAGAAGCTAAAAGAGGGTGTTGGCTCCCCTGAAGCTGGAGTTATAGGTGTTTGTGAGCTTCCTGATGGGTGCTGAGAACCTAACTTGGGTTCTCTGAAAGAGTAATAAGTGCTTGGAACCACTGAGGAGCTCTTCAGCCCCTAAAGTTTCTTTTTGGTTTTTTGGAGGCAGGGTATATCTCTGACGGGCCTGGAGTTCACTATGAAGACCAGGCTGGCTTTGAACTCATAGAGATCCTCCTGCCTCTGCCTCCCAGAGTGACGGGATTTAAAGGCATAGAATTTGAGTGTTTGGGTTTGTTTTGTTTTAAGATTTTAAGGTAGACGTGGTGGTGCATGCATTTAATCCCAGCACTCAGGAGGTAGAGGCAAGGTGGGTCTCTTGAGTTCGAGGCCAGCCTGGTCTACAGAGCAAGTTCCAGGACAGCCAGGGCTACACAGAGCCCTGTCTTATAAAAAACAAACAAACAAACAGAAAAGAAAGAAAGACCAAAAGATTAATTTTTAATTATATGTCTGTATCAGTGTGGGAGAAGGTGCTGGTGCCCATGGAGGCCAGTGGCATTGGATCCCCTGGGACTGGAGTGACAGGTATTTACAGGTACCTGACATGGGTGCTGGAATCCTGACTCTGCTCTACATACTACAGCAGCAAACACTCTACACCCCTGAATCATCTCTCCAGCCCTGTGGTTTTTACTATCGCAGATAATGTAGCATAGGGCTTCAGGTGTAGCTCAGTGGTGGAGGGCTTGCCTAGCATGTGTGAGGCCCTGGGTTTGACCAGCAAAGCCACATGTAAATAAATAACACAATGGTGAGTGGAAAACCTGGGAAACTTTCATGTGTCTCCGCAACTTGTGTGCAAGCATCCACGTGTCGAACCCCTGCCAGTGAAACTCCGACTTCATGACAGGAGCTGACACCTGCTTGGAAATGTGTATGTGCATTGTAATTGCTTAGGCTTCCATCTCATTGTACGGAAAGGCATTTCGGGGTTCCAGTGCCAGTGTCTGCTGTCACCTTATTCCGAAGACTCTGCTCTCTGCTGCCTCTCAGCCATTCCAGGAAGGCAGCTCCTACCAACGTGTACAAAGTAGAAAACCGGGTCCTTTCCGCTTGCCTCCAGAAGGAAGAGGTAATTAAGTGTATGAAAGCTTAAAGGAGAGATGAGGTCATGGCGGCTGCTGAGCAATCCCGATGGGCAAGGGGTTTCATGCAACTGATTCTGGGATCTTGGCTCAAAGGTGCCACAAGTACAAGCCTGCAGAGGCTCTTTCCATAATGAAAGAGGCATAGGGTAGCTGCAGCCACACGTATAAAATACCTATAGAAGTACCAGTGCATGGGGGACGTGTCCACGTCACCAGTGCAAGTCCTACCCCTTCACCACGGACTAGCAGTCCCTCCAGGTCCATTGGTCCCCAGTCTTATCTTCTGGCCCTCCCCTCTCCATGTTGGTAGGAGAAGCAGACTGTGCCTCCTGATTGCACCTCAGATGCTGTACACTGAAGATGTATACACACATAATTTAAGAGCGACAGCAGTCCGTATGTGCTGCCAAGTAAGGCACTTGGGTTTGTGCTGGCTCCCTGCAGATCTCATGGTGCCCACAAATAGATCCAGCCACCCGGGACCTGGAGCCCTAGGTTCATTAGATGGTGTGCCCGAGGAAGGTACTGGGGAAGGCTTATTCCGAGAAAGGCTCAAGAACATAAAAACGGCTAACAAGGAGTAGGGACCACCTTGGTCCCTTAAAGTCTGGACTGTGTGGATGGGGACCAGAATGGAAGAGATGGTATAATTAATTCAGTGCTGTTCAGATGCATATGTAGGCTATTTTATTGGCCCGCTCTATCTGTGACATTAATAAGATTAGCTGTAAGGATAGTTCCTTGTCAGATTGGAGAGGTATTTATAGCTCATTTCCTAATTACATAATTCAAATGGAGTAGTAGGCAATAATACAGTAATAGCTTCAACAGTCTTGTCGCTTAAGTGTGTTTAGGAATGACAGGTTTCCTTTTCTCTCGTGCATGAGGTACGGGGTGCATTGTTCAAACATCTGGCATCGAGTTCTAATCGTATCCTACAGAAAAGCCACAAACGCAGAATTTTATTAATAGTAATATTCCCCTCCCTCTCTTCTGGGGGTGTGTGCATGCATGAGAGAGAGAGAGAGAGAGAGAGAGAGAGAGAGAGAGAGAGAGAGAGAGAGAGAGACAGAGAGAGAGAGAGAGAGAGAGAGAGAGAGGTTAGATAAATTATTGATCATATAAATTGTATTTTCCCTTAGAATAGAAGATAAATCCACCTTTTAGACTGTTCAGCTCCTTTTTAAGAGCAAAGCAAGCAGGAGATCTACAAGTTTCTAAGGTTCTCTTTATTGCTGGTGTTTCAACCTACATCTCTCATCCCCCCCCCCCCCCGCCCCTTTTTTTAAGTGGGTCTTGCTATGTAGCATAGCCTGGCTAGGGACTTGCCATCCTCCTGCTTCAGCTACTCAAGTCCTGGGATTGCACGGCCACATCTGGCTCCAGGTGCTTTCTAATGGCGTAGCTGTGCTACCCTATCCTCATCTGAATCAGCCTCCTTTTGCTTTTCCTAAAATGACTGCCAGCTCCCAGATCCGCTGGATTCGAAGGACCTCATGTCACAGCACAAGTCTGCTGCTTGAGTGGCATGGGTTTCTCCCAGCGTGTTTCAAGTTCAAAACAGCCAGAAGCAGGGTTAACATATAACCTACGTGGGGACAAAAAGACCATAGTCATTGGCCCATGTTTGCTGGGTGAACAAGGCTAAATCAAGTCCCTTTTGTTTTTGAGACAGGATCTCATGTAGTGTAGCCCAGGCTGGCCTTAGGCTCCCTACGTAGCCAAGGATGGCTTTTGAAACTCATCCTACCATCTCTCCCTCCTAAGTACTGAGATCACAGGCTTGTTTCACCGTGTGCAAAACCCAGGCTTTGTGCACCCTAGGCAAATGCTGTGTGTGTGTGTGTGTGTGTGTGTGTGTGTGTGTGTGTGTGTGTGTGTGTGTGTGTGTGTGTGTGTGTGTGTGTGTCTGTGTGTGTGTGTGTGTGTGTGTGTGTGTCTGTGTGTGTGTGTGTCTGTGTGTCTGTGCGTGCGCACATGCGCACGTGCGCCCTGTCACCAGTGCCTGTAGAGGCCAGAAGAGGATGGAGGATCGATCCCCTGGAGCTGGAGTTAAAGGTAGTCCTGAGTGATCTGAAGTGTGCTGGGAATTGAACTCTGCTCCTCTGCCGATCAGGAAGAGCTCTTAACCTCTGAGCATCCCTGCAGCTCCCCCCTTTGAACTGTTTGATTACTTTGACTGAACCTGGATTTCCTATTTCGCAGTTTTATCACTAACTTTTAATCTACAAACTTAGAATCATATCAGTTTTGTGTCCCAAGAGTTCATTCCTTATCAAGTCTTGGTGGAGTAAGTCTAGACTAGAAATCTTAGGGAGGGAAAATATATTCCTAGAAAAACCATCCCCAAGTGGACATCAGAGATTAGCCCTTCTAGAGATCATGGTCCACTCAGGAAAGGGAGGGGTCTTGTTCTTCCACACTACTGGGGTTCCTGAGCTCTGTGCTAGGAAAAGCCTGGAGGAGACCGGGATGTCATTTACAGGACCTTAGCTGAAGCTCTTGAAAACACCCCAAACCACTGGCCCTGAGCTGTGGAAGCCGCTTTTCACCCGACACGACACCTTTCTGCTCTGGTGTGGACTCTGCCAGCACCCTTTGCTCGAATGGCGCTGGAATGGCTAGTGCCCTTATCTCCGTCCCCGCTTTAGAGGAACCAGGTGAGCAGTCCCCAGGGGATGTCCTAAAGGAAGCAGTAATGACCTGCGATTCTGATGTTCTAAAGTGCGCTCCTCACCTGTGCTCTGTCCATGTGGATGACCACATCCGTCCAGCTGATCTCAGCTTGGCCTCTGCAGTTTGACAAAGTTGTTTTTGTTTCTGTTTTTGACCATATACGTAACTTCCTCTCTAGCCAGGTGTGGTTCCCGAGGCAGAGGTGGGTGGATCTCTGTGAGTTGGGTGACGTCCTGGTCTACATGGTGAGTTCCAGGTCTGCCGGAGCTACAGTAAAACCCTGTCTCAAAATATATTTTTTTTCCAGATGACCCCTTCTGACTGTACAGTTATAAATCTTACTTTTTAATTTTATTTTTAATTAGGCGGGGGGGGGGGGGGGGGCGGTCATGTGCATGTGAGTATTTTGCCCACAAGTAAGATATCTCTGTAGCGTTGGTTACAGGTGGTTCTGAGCCGCCTGATTTGGGTGCTGGGGATCGAACTCGCATCCTCTGGAAGAGGAAATACGTGCTGCTCACCGCTGAGCCATCTTTCCAACCCCATCAATCTTTCGTGGAAGATATGCTGTCTACCTTGTCTTTAATGTTGAGGGGAATTTATGGTGGGCGCCTTATCATTTCAAACAGGGTCTTTTGCGGCTGTGCGTCTCAGGAAATGAGGGGCCCTCTACCCTCTTCTCACGGTCCTCCTGCTCTGCCTTACTGGCCCCTCTACCCAGACCCTGATGTCATTATGCAGCGGGGATGCGTGCGGGGCGGGAGCACCAAGGTCTCTCCCGGGCGGCGGCGGGGCAGTCTGCTGGCAGGTGGCTTGCTGAGTTCGCCCCGCCCCTGGCCCTAGCCCCGCCCCGCTGCTCCACTCGCATTGGCGCGGCCAGCTGTCTCTCTCCGCATTGGGGAGGGGGCGCGAGGCTGCGGTCCCTCTGCAGAGGGCTGCGCGCTCCGCGGCCTCCGGAGCTCCTCGTTGTTTGGGCCTGTGCACCCCGACCCCAGGAGCAGGGTTGGCCCGAGACCGCGACGCTCTGGGTAAGTGGAGGCAGGACCAGAGGCTCTGGGTCAGGATCGGGTGTACTGAGCCCCTGGTGGGAAGGTGACGGCGACAGACCCGGGGTCCGGGTCACCAGACAGCGAGGGGCGCGGACTGCAAGGTCGCTGGTCCTCAGGCGTCTCCAGGTGGGTGACCCTGGGCAGTTCTGCTGCCCGCTCGCTTCGCACGCGGTGCAGCTGGTGCCTTAGCACCGGCTCCCTAACCCTTATCCTTCTTCAAGGCTTTTTGGGGAACTGTGATTTTCGGCTCCGGTCTATGATAATTCTGCAGATAGCTTGAAGCTGGGCTATCTGTTCCACGCCCCCGGTATTTTCCTTTCTGAGCCTTGTCTCCTGCCACAGGGGCGTCAAGCCTGGATAGAGTCCTTCCTCCAAGGAGGAAGCTTCGCGGTTCGTTTCTGGTTCTGGGAAAGGTCCTTGCTCTGCTTGGATAGTGATTGCTCTTTGCTGCTCAAGAGGGGGGAAAGGGAAGTGGTTGTTTTCTGTGGCCTTAGACATGAGATTCTGCCAGCGAAGGACAGCAGGGACGTTAGGGTTTCCAAGGCAATAGAGCTCCTCTCGAAGGTAAAGGCGAACCATTTGCAGTCTTTACACTCTGCAAAGTTTTAACGCCTGCTGGCTGCATCCTTTCTCCGGCTCGGCTACACTTGTTGGGGTGTTGATGTCTACAGTGATGTACATTCAAAGAAGCCCTCTCGTGCAAGCATCTGGGCCATTCAGGTTAGTTTCAGATACTTTTCGGAATACGATCGCTTTTGACTATTTCTTCTAACGATACATCCTCTGCTTAGAAGGAATGCTCGCTCGGGCTTGGAGCCATTAAGACTTGATTCTAGTGCTTATCAAAGGTGTGTGAGGAGAGACTGTGTTTTTTGGTTCCATCATTAGTCTAGAATTTATGTGTCTGTGTAGAAACATGAAACGTATAATACCTACCCTAAAAAAAAAATTCCCTTAGATCTTAAAATGATTTTTTCAGGGTTCTGATTCTACAGAGAATTAGGAACTGGTACCCAAATGGAAGTGCAGTGAAGGATTTACATGCAAGCAGAATAATTTGCCTAACTTAGGACACCTATCAACTAAAATCCACAAAACTGTTGGGGAATCACCCTATGCCCCCATTCTGTAAGCCATTCCATTCTGTAGATTGTTATTTTTTGGTGGCACTGAGGATCAAGTCCAGGAGGACCCTGTGGCATGCTAGGCCAGTGCTCTATCACTGAGCTATATGCACAGACCCAAAGCTGAGTTTTACTCTTTTTTTTTTTCTCTCTTGAGACAGGGTCTCATGTAGCCAGTGCTGACTCCAGCCACCCTAGATAGCTGCAGATGACCTTGGGTGATTCTCCTGCCTCCGCCTCCCACCTACCTGCTGGAATCGCAGTCCTGTACCTACCCCCACAACCAGCCTCGGATGAGGGTTTGAAAGCAATTCACTTTCTCACGGCATCCAAAGCACGGGCTTCAGACACAGGCAGCGTCGGGTTGAATCTGAGCACTGGGGCTGGCTACCTTTGTAATCTCAGGCAGGCTGCTTTAACTGCAGATGGAGATCTCACCACCTCCTCACTCCGGGATGCTGCGGTGCAGGTTAGAGACGGATGTGAGAGTGCTCGGCGGCGGTGCTTGCCTCGCACACACGAGGGTTGCACAACCGGGGCTGCTGGCTGTTGCCAGCACCGACTCACCTCCAGCTGTGTGCAGTTACAGTGGGAAAGTATGAGTAGCAGGCACTTCGGTGAAAATGCCACAGTTACGCAACGACTCTGAGACGGGAGACCGACAGCGACGCTGGGTTTTTCTGAGAGTGTGTATGGAAAGTAGCACCCCCTTGACGGAGTTTTTAGAACAGAAACCATATGCTACAATAGGAAGAACACCAGAGAGTCAGAATTTCTACTTCTGACTCTGGCTGGGGCCTCATCTAGCCCAAGGCTTTCTGCAAGACCACCCGCCCACTTGGGAGCTCAGTTTTGTCATTGGGCTGGACTTGGGGAATCTGGAGCCATCTCCTAAGGCCCTCACCGTGCCGCGGTTCTTCACTGTGTGTGATGAGAAAGTAGTCCAGCTGGCCTGTCACCTGCCCTCTGTTGTTCCGTTGTTGTTTGCCAAACTTTCTGTGTGGGGCCATAAACAACTCATGGAGAAGGCGACCAAGAGCAAGGGCACACTTGTAGAGCGACCACAAACGAAGCCTTAGCAAAAATAATAGAACAAAATGGGTTCGCACTGGGATCTTTTTTGCTAGGGTAAAGCAAGCCTCCCTGTGCAGCCCTAAGTTGTTTCAGTATGTCCTGTGGAACATACGCCCCATATGATGCAGTTTATATTAAAAATAAAAGGCTCGTGGTGAAATAAAACCTCACTCTTTTCTCTTATCAGGTTGGTCTTTGAATAAAGGAGAATTCTATCCAGGAGAGAGCTTCAATTCATAGAGAAAATTAAAGGAAGAAATCATAAGCAACAGATGAACAAGGCATTTGTGTCCTGAAGAAGCCATAGACACAACTGTGGAGCGAGAGCAGGGCGGACCCCCAGGAGAAACTGGACTTGGTGTGATATATTTGTCCCAAAAGGCTTCAAGAGGAAGAGAGAGGAGACTTTCCTGAGAATGAAAGAGTGTAGTGTGAAAATGGAGAGCAGAGTTTCTGAGATTCAGATAGAAACTAAGGAGGAGAAGGTGCCAGTAGCTGTTAGTCCTCAGGAAGAGAGGCAGGAGGGAAAAACAGGCACACTTTGCTTCAAGAGAAGGAAGAAAGCGAACAGGATGAAGCCTAAAGCTGGTTCCAAGACTGCCGAGGTCACAAAGAAGCGTCCCCCTGAAGCCGGGGACTCTGCTCAGCCACAGCCAGCGGGGGCCTGGGCCTCCATCAAACGCCTCGTGACACACAGGAAAAGGTCAGAGTCTTCGAAGAAGCAGAAGCCATCAGAGGCTGACGTGCAGCCTGAGGACGTGGCTCTTCCTAAGAAAAAGGCAAAATCCAGACTTAGGATTCCTTGCATAAGATTCTCAAGGGGGGCAAAGAGACGTCATCACTCTAAACTCACAGAAGACTCAGACTACAACAGCAGAGTCCAGGGAGGGGCTGATGATTTGGAGACAAAAACCCAGACCCAGTCAGCTGACCAGGCGATCCCGGCTAAGTCCACACAGGGCCGACAGGAAGGTGTGTTGGTGGAAGATGGTAAGGAGGTCCAAGAATCATGTGTGAGCAACAGTGTCACATCTAGAGAGAACGTGGTTTCCGTGGACCTGGAATTAGAAAATGAGTCTTCGGCTGTTCAGATGGGCACTCCGGTGCTGGAAAAGCAAAGCGTGCAAACGCAGCAAGCAAGTCCACTTGAGAGTTCGGAAGCAGGCAGCCCTCGTCCCGTGGCCTCTGACGCCCCTGCCTCACCAGCAACCGCGTATCAACGCAGTGTGGAAGAACCCAGTGGCGGCATCCAAGAAAGTGTTCCAAGGGGGAAAGATGACGGAATTAGACGGAGTGCAGCCCAAGAGAAGAAATCAGGAGAAATTACGCTGGGTCCAGCAGAAGAGACTACAGTGATCCAGGCAGAGGAGGCTGCTGTCAGCCAGACAGACAAGAGTGCAGTGGCCCAGGCCGAAGGAGGTAAACCGAGTCAGGCAGAGGAGGCTGCTGTCAGCCAGACAGACAAGAGTGCAGTGGCCCAGGCCGAAGGAGGTAAACCGAGTCAGGCAGAGGAGGCTGCTGTCAGCCAAAGAGACAAGAGTGCAGTGGCCCAGGCCGAAGGAGGTAAACCGAGTCAGGCAGAGGAGGCTGCTGTCAGCCAGAGAGACAAGAGTGCAGTGGCCCAGGCCGAAGGAGGTAAACCGAGTCAGGCAGAGGAAACTGTCAGCCAGACAGACAAGAGTGCAGTGGCCCAGGCCGAAGAAAGTAAACTGAGTCAGGCACAGGAAACTGTCAGACAGACCGAAAAGAGTGCAGTGGCCCAGGCAGTGGAAGCTACTGTGGCCCAGGCAGTGGAAGCCGCAGTGACCCAGGAAGAGGAAGCTGCAGTGACCCAGGCAGACAAAACTGCAGTGACCCAGGAAGAGGAAGCCGCAGTGGCTCGGAAAGAGGAAGCCGCAGTGTCCAGGGCAGATGAAGCCGCAGTGGCCCGGGAAGAGGAAGCCGCAGTGGCCCGGGAAGAGGAAATCGCAGTGGCCCGGGAAGAGGAAGCCGCAGTGGCCCAGGAAGAGGAAGCCGCAGTGTCCAGGGCAGATGAAGCCGCAGTGGCCCGGGAAGAGGAAATCGCAGTGGCCCAGGTACCAGATCTGAAAGAAAATGGAACTGATACAGAGAAACCCAGATCAGAAGAAAGCAAAAGAATGGAGCCAATTGCTATTATCATTACAGACACTGAAATCAGTGAATTTGATGCTAAGAAATCTAAAAATGTCCCTAAGCAATTCCTAATTTCAATGGAAAATGAGCAAGTAGGGGTTTTTGCTAATGATAGTGATTTCGAAGGGAGAACTTCAGAACAATATGAAACACTCTTAATAGAAACAGCCTCTTCTCTCGTCAAGAATGCTATCCAGTTGTCTGTAGAGCAGCTGGTTAATGAAATGGTTTCCGAGGATAATAAAATAAATACTCTGTTACAGTGACTTCATTTCCAGATCGCGGGAAAGGAAAAAAAAAAACTTAAAGATGAATTATTTTATACATCTGTGGCGCTTCTTTCTCAGTAATCAATTAGAGGCTTATTGTCTGTGGAATTTAAAGGTACAATTCCAGCCCGGAAGTGCTAAAGAATAAATGAAGTTTACGAAACTTGTTGAAACAGTCACTTCTGGACTGGAAGGAGTCAGCACACATCACAGGGCGCCGTGACGTACAGGAAGGTGCAGAGATGACAGGCGACGAGCTCAGTGCTCTGAGGAAGACTGTTTACTGAGCATGCGGCATGCTGTATGCTCCTTGCTGTTCCCTAGTATCACGAAGTCTGGGCTTTTTCTGATGGTTCAACCCTGTGTCTAGGCGAACGCTTTTCTTTACAGTATATTTTCCTGTTGTTTCTAATGGTGAATCAGGTGAGTGGGTTTCTAGCCCCGCACAGGTTCCTTACAAAAGCCATTCACAGGTTCCTTCAGCACAGGTTCCTTCGGCCAGGCAGGCAGTTGTCAAGGGTGTAAGCGTGGAAACGGGGAGTGCGTTTCCTTCCCTCCCTGTCTTCCTTCCGCCCAGCAGACCTGTATAGACCCATCTCCGTGTGGACCTATCTGCTGAGACGTGAGAAACAAACAAAGGGAATAGTAGTTTTCATCCAGAAGGCAAACTTCCCAGATAACAGAGAATTCCCTTAGCAGGAAAACCATAATATTCTTGTGAAAATACTTCTTGGCCAAACATGAACTATGTATACAACTGAATAAAAAAAAATCAAAATTCATGCTGATGCATAGATTTTCAACACCGGTGTTTTTTTTTTTTTTTTTTTCATTGTGTCTAGCCATGGTACTGTAACACCGTTCCCAGCCCCACGGGTCAGGGTTCCTATTGTACAGCACTCCCCACCCCGCTATCTAACCAAGTGATGATGTTACTACTTGTTACTGCTGAGGCAGGACAGCTGGTAGGATGGCTGTTGAAGAGCGCCCTCTGGAGGACGAGCACCAATGATGTTCATCCGCTCTGCATTTACAGTGTTTATGGACTGCGTATGTATACATTGCTTTTCCCTCTGCTTTCATTTTGAAAATACATATTGTGATCTCTTACAGAAGTAACTAACGTGGTTTTGGAATTTAACCAAATGGTGGATGTTTAGCAAGATTCTTGGCTGGAATGTGAAAATATTTTCTTCAGGCTTGCCTGTCTTCATGTTTTCAATGGGTGATGTGGGGCATCATTCACTTTAGCAAGATAAAAACACCCCCCCCAATACATTTCTTTTAATTGTGTACCTACCTTTTTAGACATAAAACCAAAATCACTGCTAAATCATCTTTGAGAGAATACTTTAACCCACAGTGTATGGTGCTAATAGGCTTGTATAGCTACCAGAAAATATGTTTAAAATGAACCGTTTTAAATGCCTGATTAAGGTTGAAGCACTTTGCAGTATTTTAAATAACCTTGTATCTATTTACTGTAAGAATGTTTCCAAGCCAATATACTTACATTAACGTTTCTAATAATATCTTATGAATGAGAGAGAGCTGTAAAATACACAGCATTTAGCAATTATCAAGGGTATTTTGGATTTGGGGATTTTGAAAAACAGACACAAAGTAAATATGTGATTTTGGGGGTAAGAAAGTAGCCCCAAGTTTCAAGTTTTGGAGTGTGTGTGTGTGTGTGTGTGTGTGTGTGTGTGTGTGTGTGTGTATTCCCTATACTGCTGTTTGATAAATACACCTTTGGTTAGAATGCATTAAGATTGATTGTTTTTATAAGAAAATATATTCTCCTTCATTCTTCATTGGTTTCTCTGGCTTTTCTAAGGACTTAAATAAAGAGAATTTCCATCTGGAAATAGAATACAGAAATTTATCAGTGGGTTGCAATCTGATATATCTGCTATATGGCCAAATTATAGAGAAATTTAGGGTGATCCAAACAATTCTGTTGTTATAAAAATAAGCAGGAATCAGAGAGATGGCTTGGAAGTCTACCATAAAATATTTAATAATGATAGGATATATTTCAAGCAGTTTGACCTATGAAAGATTCTGATTCAATTTACACTCTTTTGGTCTTAAACTGACCAGTTTAAAGGCATCGATTTAGGCATCATTAACCACTCACTTTAATTTTAATTGAAATCTGCCTTTAATGAACACTTGTCAGCTACGAACAAATTTCTTTTTGAACTCAGAATTTTCGAAGGCTGAGGGGTCTATCAGATACTCGATAATTTTTCAATATATTATCTTCACCCTCTTAAGAGTCAAGTATTATTCACTCACTCCACGTCTTATAACACAGAGGATATAAGTACTTGCTGTGATTATGTGTGTGTGTGTGTGTGTGTGTGTGTGTGTGTGTGTGTGTGTGTGTGTGGTGTGTCACTATTCACTTAACATTTTTTCACAGCACTTTTTAGGATATTAAAAATAGTACCTGGTAACATTTAAGTAAAGGTAGCAGAAAACAAAAGAACTTCCAGCAGAAATCATGCTCCCTGCCACCCCCTCCACCTCCAGGAATGAGAAGCATGTGGCTCAATCAGAGCTCCTCACAGAAGCTGTCTGCATGATGTTCCTCCCAGGCAGTGGGTTTGACAGCATGGAGCTGGTGATGATCTTAATCAGTCTACTATTTAGTGGGTCTTCGTTTCTGAGAGACAATGTCAGGCTCTTCGCTGTGTGGCCTGTGAGAAGGCCCTGGGCCAGCCTTGCCTAGACTCAGAGCCCAGAGTTTGTGTCATCTGCAAATGTCTAACTTCAATTCGCCTTATTTTTTATCGTTGAGAATTTTTTAGGGGGTCGTGGCAGGATTTTTAAAATGATTCTTAGACTTTAGAGCCCTGTTGTTTGAAAAGATCTTTATATTGGCTTTACTGAGTAAGCATTCTACTTTCTAGCTTAATACTAACCACGCCAGGATCTGACTTTTCTGCCTGCCCTTTTTGGATTTTTTTTTTTTAATATCTTCATGTAAGTTGTAGAGCTTCTTTAGGTTCAAATTCCTGTCTTACTGTGTAATAAGGTTTCTTATAGATCACTGAAATTTTCAATCCATACTGCATTTTATTGCACATTTTTTAAAAGAATTTTTTGTAATGATCCTTGAGACAAAAATTTATTAGAATGAATCTGCATAAAGTATAAATGCCCCGATTAAGTTAGATCCAACAGAGATTAGGCTTAATGCCCGTCAATACCCTGATAATAGGACCTCCCACAGCTCATCCTGGGCAGGGTGTGTGTGTGTGTGTGTGTACATGTGTGCATGAGTGTGTACATGTGTACACGTGCGTGCATGTGTGTGTGCGTGAGTCTGTGTGTGTGTGTGTGTGTGTGTGTGTGTGTGTGTGTGTGTAGGGGGGAAGGACGTAGCAACAGAAACCAGGACGTAGGGAAAGACAGAGCCACAGACAATGCAGAAAGAGAAATGCCCAACAGGGAAGTAGAAAGAGTGATTTTGTCTGGAATGGGGGAGCTGGGACCTGAATATGGCGGTCTGGACACAGTGTGTTCATTCTGATTTGTGACCAGGTGCAGAAAAAAAAAAAGGCCTGTAAAATGCCACACATGTCAGTTCTTGGCCTGGAGAAATGTTAAATGGATGAGCCGTTATAAAAGTAAGAGTACCACTTTGTATCCTCCTTAACGTTAGTGTTACTGTGGATCAGAGACTCATATTAAAGAAATAATACTCTGTAGAGAAAAAGTTTTCAAGCTGAATTAATACATGTACTGACTAATACAGAATAAATGTTATATTAGCTTATTTATTTTGCCTGTGTTTTTTAAAAAGGAATATGGTGCTGGGTGGTGGTGGCACACGCCTTTAATCCCAGCACTCGGGAGGCAGAGGCAGGTGGATCTCTGTGAGCTCGAGGCCAGCCTGGTCTACAGAGCAAAATCCAGAACAGGCACCAAAACTACACAGAGAAACCCTGTCTCAGAAAAAAACCAAAAAAAAAAGTAAAAAAAGGAATATGGTAAGTTATCTGCTCGGGATCGCACAGATGTTACAACACAGGCAGGAAGGAGTCCACCTTCAGCAAAGGCATGCACACAGAACTCTGAACCGATGCAACCGTAAGAACAAGCAGTTCTGAACTTGATGCCATCGGAACTTTGGGCTCTGGAGCCCAGTGACACAGTCCTTACTACATGCTCAGTCCCCAAGACCTCAAAACCAAACCAAGTCAAACAAAAAGGAAGTTTCATTGTTTCTTACCAATTGCATGAGTTGCTTTTCTGGTTTTTTTCAGGGTCAGGGGGCTGGGGTTTGTTGTTTTTTTGAGACAGGGTTTCTCTGTGTAGCCCTGACTGTTCTGGAACTCACTCTGTAGACCAGGCTGGCCTCAAACTCCATATCCACTGCCTCCGCCTCCCAAGTGCAATTAAAGGCATGGGCCACTACCACCCAGCCTGTCTTTTCTGTATTATATTAGTCTATGAATTGTTAATAATCCCTATGGTTTCATAAAAAAAGCCACGAAGTGGAAGGCCTTACACTATTCACATGATATCAACCGTAGTTGGTTTCACAAGTTTGATTTCCTAAAGCCCTCATTTCATTCAGCTCCTACTACTGCTTTGGTTGTACTGTGAGGTAGGCTAGCCTGGAACATCTATCTGATCCTCCCGCCTCAGTCTCCCAAGTGCTGGAATTACAGGCACGCACCTGCTAGGCTTGGTCTCTGCTATTTTCTAACTACAACTCAGTAGTAATAATCGGGTCCAATGAGACTGTATTTTCCAAATCTCAGGACCCACTGAAAAGTTGGTAGCATCTTCAAGATCCTGAAACTACATCTGGCTGTGTGCCTCACTTCCTGCCTGATGTTATACAAGCAGTGGGCATACACCGTGAATTTCACATTCTTCAGAATTTTGCCTTATTATTACTACTATTTTAGTTTTGGAGGCAGAGTCTCTCTATGGTCCTGCTGTCCTGGAACTCACTACGTAGACCAGGCTGGCCTCAGAATCACAGAGATTCACCTGCCTCTCTTTCCTGAATGCTGGGATTAAAGCTGTTTGTAACACTGGGCTCTTGAGAATTTTTTTTTTTTTTTTTTTTTTTTTTTTGGTTTTTCGAGACAGGGTTTCTCTGTGTAGCTTTGCGCCTTTCCTGGAACTCACTTGGTAGTCCAGGCTGGCCTCGAACTCACAGAGATCCGCCTGGCTCTGCCTCCCGAGTGCTGGGATTAAAAGATTATTTTTGTTATATGAGACAGGGTCTGTGTAGCTCAGGTTGGCCCCAAACTCGAGATCCTCCTGCCTCTGCCTGCACCTCATGAGTTCTGGGGTTTCAAGAATGTCACCACACTCGGGATAAAGCTTTTTGATATCAATTTTCCTAATAGCAGGAGCACACTACCCTTTACAGACTGTGCTCACCACCAAGTATGCTAGTTCCTTACAGACCCACATTTAAACCTCAAGTCTAGAGTCCCGATGCCTCTCTCGATTTGGTTTCCTGGGGGCTTTTCATGAGTTTGGGGGATGGAGTAAATATATGTGTATACTTCACAATCAAGTTGGCTCAAGCTTCATGAACAATTAAGGAAAATGCAGGAAGGGAGGGGCTGGGACTGCCAGCCTTGGCCTGGCCTCTGTAAATGTCAGCCAGTCAGAATGGTGCAGAGTTACCCCATGTTAGCAAGATTCCTCATCCATTGTTTTGTGGCTAAACCCAAGACTTTTAGCTTTGGCTTTCATCTGGGTCTTAAGGAATAAGTTCAAGGAGACAGGTGGGGGCAAGGGCACCTTGTCCAGGAGCTTCTGAAGTTCTGTAGATAATCAATGACCCTCATCTGAGCCAGAGAATGGAGTGGAGGGATCAGGTTAGATTTGTAATGGTGCTGGGAATCACACTCAGGGCCTTATTCGTGCTAGGCAAGTGCTCTGCCACTGAGCCACATTCCCAGCATCTGTGACCTTCATGACCAGGCAGTTAGTGAGCAGGATTAACTTCTCATGCACTTTTCACAGTAACACTTATACACCGGAACCTTCCACTCCTGCTTTCCTGGGACTTGAAGAGCCCAGGAGGACACTTGAAATGGATGCCATCACTTGTAAATGTACAAGTCTTTGTTTTGAGGGGAGGATATGCTGGACACTGGATCCTGGAATTTGTGCATGTTCACCACGGACTTTACCACTCTAAGCCCACATCCTAATCTTTCTTACCAAATTCCTGCACTGACATCTCTACCTTCATGTGAGAGGAAGGTCTGGTCAGTATCGGTCATCAGTGGTTCTCTGGGCCACACCCGGCAACAGACAAGATCCTAGGATGGCTCTACGTGGAATTGGTGCACAGAATAGAGGCTTTAGTCAGCAAGAAGGCCACCTGTCTAACAGAAGTATCTCTAGCCTGTCAGAGATTGCCCTTGGACCCTGGAGTGCTGAAACGCAGCACTCATCACACAGACGCAGGACCGCACAGACAGAATGCCAGAACAACTGGCCACTGCTCAGTGCAGGGGGAGCAAGCCAGCCTGGTGTGGCACTCTCAACCAAATGTGGCATAGCCAGCCACGAGCCATAATTTCAGAGGAAACTTAGAATTCTTAATTTTCTGGGCTCTCCTTAATCCCTGAATATTTTGGCTATTATTTTTCCTAAAAGATTAAACATTTGGACTCATTAAACCTTAAACCTTTTCTATATTTGTCTGGGTATCACTGAGGCATAATTCACAAATAGTGAAGTCTACCTTCCCCCACCCCTGCGCCCCCAAGGCCCTGTGTAAAAGCTCTGGCTGTCCCGGAACTCGCTCTGTAGACCAGGCTGGCCTCAAACTCACAGAGATCTGCTTGCCTCTGCCTCCCGAGTGCTGAGAATGAAGGCGTGGGCCACCATTGGCCAGCCATTTTTATTTAATTATTATTTTATGTGTGAGGTTTTGGCCTGCATATATGTATGTATATATGTGTATGTGTTTATGTGTGTGTGTGCGTGCACGCGCGCACGCATCACTTGCACACCTGGTGCCTGCGGAGGTCAGAAGAGGGTGTCGGAGTCCCCAGAACTAGAGTTACAGACGGCTGTGAGCTTCCATAGGAGTGCTGAGAATCGAACCCAGGTCCTCTGCAAGAGCAATAAGTGCTCTTGACACTGAGCCATCTCTCCAGCCTGAACTTCTGGGGTTATAGGTGTGTGCCACCACACCATGTTGTGATGCTGGGGATCCAGCCAGGGCTTTATGCATGCTAAGCAAGTACTCTATAAACTGACCCACAACCCCAGTCCCACGTTTATATATTTTTACATATAAATATTATAGATATATATAGATTTATATATTGCATTCGAGTTCTTGTCACTGTGACAAGATGCCCTGGCAGAAGCCACTCGAGGGAGGATTTATTTTGGTTCGTGCTTTGAGGGTACGAGCCATAGGCTTCTGCGGACAGCTGGTCACACCGGGTCCACCTTCAGGAAATAGAGAGGATGAACACTAGCGCTCAGCTAATTTTCTTCTGTCTATTCAGTACAGGACTCCAGCTCATGGAAGGGTGCTGCCTTAATTAAAATGGGTCTTCCCACTCAGGTAAGCTGATCCAGACAAGCTCTCACAGACATGCCTAGAAGCTGTCTCCGAGGTATTTCTTGATCCTGTTGACAATCAGAATTAGCCAGCCGGGTGTGGTGGCACATGTCTTTAATCCCAGACAGAGGCAGGAGGATCTCTGTGAGTTTTTGAGGTCAGCCTGGTCTACATAACAGTTCCAAGACACTCAGGGTTACAAAGAGAGACCCTTTAAAATAAACAAACAAAGGGGGCTGGAGAGATGGCTCAGAGGTTAAGAGCACTGCTTGCTCTTCCAAAGGTCCTGAGTTCAATTCCCAGCAACCACATGGGGGCTCACAACCATCTGTAATGAGATCTGGTGCCCTCTTCTGGCTTGCAGGGATATGTGCAGACAGAACACTGTATACATAATAAATAAATCTTAAAAAAAATAAAATAAAATAAACAAACAAAAACAAAAACAAGTAACCTTTGCAGATACTAAGTATGTTTAGTTTAATATAATTTCCCGTGTTTGTAAAAATTGCTACTTGTACAGAAATTCAAAGTAACAGTTTTTTAAAATCTCAGTGTTTAAACTAGGAGATCCAGCTAGTGGGAACTCATGAACTCTAGACCAACAGCTGTGGAGCCTGCAAGGTACTGGACTAGGTAGGCCCTCTGCATGAGTGAGACAGTTGTGTAGCTTGGTCTGTTTAAGGGGCTCCTGGCAGTGGGATCAGGATCCATCCCTGGTGCACGAGTTGGCTTTTTGGAGCCCACTACCTATGGTGGGTCATCTTGCACAGCCTTGATGCAGGGGGGAGGGACCTGGACCTGCCTCAACTGAATGTAACTGACTTTGCTGACATGGGAGGCCTTACCTTTTTGGTAAGGGGATGGGGAGTGGGTTGGTGGGGGGGGGGCAGGAGGAGGGATGAAAGGGGGATCTATGGTTGGTATGAAAAATGAACAAAAAAATTTAATAAAGAAAAAAAACCTATGAAAACCAGGCCTGTGGCACAGCCTGCAGCCACTAATAAATTAGTAACCAAAAAATTACCAGGAGAAGCAAGGCAAGGCTGGCACACATCCACTGTACAGCTGTACAGCCAACCTCAAAAGTTGTGTTCCCCAAGTGGTACTGAGCAGAATCTCTGGCCATTGTGGGGGTTTTGAGTGTAGCCAGCAGAGCAGGATACGTCACACAGGTGCTGAAGATTGTGTTTTCTCTAATTATGCTTTTTTTCTGGTTTAAAACTCATTGAAATGGGGAGCAAGAAGGACTGTGTATCCATGTTGGAGTGCTTGCCCAGAGTGTGTGAGACCAAAAAGCACTGCATGTGTGTGTGCGTGTGTGTGTGTGTGTGTGTGTGTGTGTGTGTGTGTGTGTGTGTGTGATGAAAGCTAGGCAGCCCCAGTTCTTCATGAGGGTGGTTTGTGTGTGTGTGTGTGTGTGTGTGTGTGTGTGTGTGTGTGTGTGTGTGTGTGTAGGAGAGGCAAGATGAAATCTAGGCAGCCACAGTTCTGCATGAGGGTGTGTGTGTGTGTGTGTGTGTGTGTGTGTGTGTGTGTGTGTGTGTAGGAGAGGCAAGATGAAATCTAGGCAGCCACAGTTCTGCATGAGGGTGTGTGTGTGTGTGTGTGTGTGTGTGTGTGTGTGTGTGTGTGTGATGAAAGCTAGGCAGCCCCAGTTCTGCATGAGGGTTTTGTGTGTGTGTGTGTGTGTGTGTGTGTGTGTGTGTGTGTGTGTGGTGTGTGTGTGTGTGTGTGTGTGTGTAGGAGAGGCAAGATGAAATCTAGGCAGCCACAGTTCTGCATGAGGGTGTGTGTGTGTGTGTGTGTGTGTGTGTGTGTGTGTGTGTGTGATGAAAGTTAGGCAGCCCCAGTTCTAGCTTCTTTTAGGAAGCTCCACACTGGGTTCCTGAGGCTGTGCCAATCTGTGCACCCACCCACAGTTTATGAGTCCTTTTCTCTCCTTTTCTTTTCTTGATGCAGCCTCTCTGACTGCAGAGATGGAGTCTCCACGTGGCTTTAATCTGTACCTCAGTGGTGGCTAAGGATGCTGAGCATGTTTTAATGTTTCCTTGCCATTTGGACTCCATCTTCTGAGAACTGGCTGTTTAGTCCTTTAGCCCGTGTAGTGACTGGATTGTTTTTGGTTTGGGGTAAGTGTGTTCAGCTCTTTGAGTTCTTTATATACTCTAGATAGCAATCCCGTCAGATGCACAGCTAGGAAAGGTCTTCTTCTCTTTTGCGTGTTGCCATTTACTCTTTCCTTTGTTACTGGAGCTACTCCTGTTTTTGAGACAGGGTTTCACTGGGTAGCCTGGGCAGTCCTGGAACTCACTCTGTAGACCACGCTGACCTCAAACTCAGAGAGACCCTCCTGACCCTGTCTGGGATTAACGAGGCGCGACACTATGCCTGGGCTGTGTAGGAGCTTTTAAATCTCACACAATCCCACCTGTCAGCCCTTGGTACTGTTTCCTAGTTGCACCTCTTCTGGGTACACACCTGAATAGTTCCACGTCAACACAGCACAGAGATACTTCCACATCTGTGCTTGCTACAGCACAATTCACAACAGCCAAGTTAGGGTATAAAGAAAATATGGTAGGCATACACAGAAGTGTCATCCAGCCACAAGAACGAGACAGTCATTTGCCAGGAAATGGAAGTCACTGGAGACGATGCTAAGACAACTGAGGTGGATGCTGAAAGGAGACGCATGCTTTTATTGCTCGTTTTCCTGCCTCATACAGACGACATAAAAGGGAGGAGGGAGGAGCGCCGGGCACGGTGGCGCATGCCTTTAATGCCAGCGGTGGGAGGTAGAGGCAGATGGATTTCTGTATGTTTGAAGCCAGCCTGGTCTACATAGTGCATTCCAGAATAGCCAGAGCTTCATAACTGAGAGATCCAAACAAATAAAAAAAATGCATACATACATACATACATACATGCATGCATGCATACATGCATGCATACATACAAAACAACAACAACATTTTAAAAGGGAGACCCAGAGCAACAAATGGGTGGGGGAAGGGAATGGGGGAGGACGGCTATGGTCAAAGCACACGATATGCTTGAAACTGGCTTATGAAATCCAACACTCTGTGCATGAATATTTGTCATTGAAAGAATGAGAGGGAAGGACCAAGCAAAGCAGGATTTCCTTGAATGACTCCATTTACTTCTCAGGCACGTAAAACATTAACTGAGTTTGATATATGATTAGGAGAGTCCATGTCATTGGAATAAAATCCCACGGCTCTGCTCTTAACGACATGCGAACATCCTCAGACTAGTTCAGGAGTCCAACCATAAGTGTGCTGCTATCTGCTGATGCGTTTCTTGTAAGTCAGATGCAGAGGGATGTCAAGACGCTATTACCTTCCATAGAATGGACTGTAAAGTAAGGGAAGGTCCAGATGCAGCTCATCGAACACCTAATAAGCTGAAGAGTAATGTCAAAAGTGAGCAGAAGACCCATTTTTATGGTACACTGGTGCCATCTTTTGGCCAGATTAAAATTCGCACAGATTATAAACTACGACCACATTTTTCTTTTCTTTTTCTCTTTCTTTTTTTTTTGTTGTTTTGTTGTTGTTTTTTTGTTTTCCGAGACAGGGTTTCTCTGTGTAGCTTTGTGACTTTCCTGGAACTCACTTTGTAGACTAGGCTGGCCTCGAACTCACAGAGATCGCCTGCCTCTGCCTCCTGAGTGCTGGGATTAAAGGGGTGCGACACCACCGCCCGGCCACATTTTTCTTTTAACAGACTTTAGAGGTATAATTACTTACTTTAAACACAAATAGATTTAAAACTGTCTTGACCTGAAAGTGGAAGCATGTGTCTATAATCCCAAATGTGAGCAGCTGGGGTCAAAGGATTATGAATCTGAGGCCATCCTGGGCTCCAGAACAAAATGACTGTTTTTTGTTGTTGTCGTTGTTGATGAATGTATCTGATTTTATTTTGTTTGTGTTTGTAGTGTGTTGTGTGTATGTACTCGGGTGGGCGCGTGTGCACACGAGGCTGTATATGGGTCTTCCTTCCATAGCTCTCCATCTTTCTATTTGGAGACAAGGTTTCTCACTGAAACAATGAACTTCAGGAACCCACCTGTCCCCCCGTGGGCCCCCATCTTCACCACATACTGTAGTTACAGACGGTGCAACAGCGCAGGCCTTATATGTGGGCTCTGGGGATACAAACCCAGGTCCCGAAGCTGCGCAGGTGGCACGTTACCTACTCAGCATTTCTGCAGCTCTACTTCTGACTTTAGTAACCCAATTTAAAATCTTCTAAAAGCCGAGTTAAAGGACACCACAAATAGAACTGACTTTGGAACAAACACATCATACATTCCATTAGATCAGTCTTAACTCCAAAACAACTAGATAGAAATCCCCAGCTTCTGTGCCCTTATGCACAATCACAAGATTTAATGCTTTTAGACAGGAGTTCATCAACCACAACTCTACGGACACCTTGAGTGGGCAACTGAGTGGGGGAGGAATGAGAGATACCCTTTTTATTACGGCACGTTCAGTAACTCCCGCGGTCTCCACCCACTAGATGCCAATGGCAACCTTATTATGCCCTCCACACCAGACATAGCTACCCCAAACATCTCCACATTGCCAAGACAGTTTTTAGTCAGTTGATTTTGTGTTGGCTGAACTATGGGATATATTTTTGTGTATTTATTGTTTTGCAAGATTGAACTCGAGGCCTTGTATATACCAGGCAAGCAGTCTACTGAGCCACATTCCCATCCCCTACTCCAAGTGTGCGTGAAGGTGCTTTTTGTTCGGTTTTGTTTTTGAGACAAAGTCTCCTGCTCAGGCTGGTCTCCCACGTCAGCCTAACTTACTGGAACTTCAATGTCAGCCATCATATCTGGCTTTGCTATGGCGCCTGGGGATGAGAGCATTAGCAGACTGGGTAAAAGAGACTGCCTTCATTTAACAGCTGAAGGCCTGAACAGAAAGGTGACCTTCCCCTGCCTGACAGACCCATCTTTTCCTAACTTTGGGCAAAAATTCAAACATCAGATCATTCCAGGTCTCTTAGTTTTTGGACTGGAATTTATTTCAATAACTCTCTGGCTATACGTCTTTTTTGGCCTTAACAACAGAATTACATCACTTAGTTCCCCAGCACTCAGCTTGTAGAATAGAGCTTTTCATAATTCTGTCACCATAAAGGCATGAATCAAGGTCACATCTACTAATTTTTTTTTTGAGATAGGCTCTTACTGTGTAGCCCCAACTGGCCTGGCACTCACTAAGTAGACCTGGCTGGCTTGAACTCATGGTGTTTTTCTTGCCATTTTCTCCCAAGTGCACCACCACATTAGCCATAAGTTCATGTAACATCTACCTGCCTCTCTTCCTCTTCCTCTTCTTTCCTGGGAATCTTAATATACCCTGAGAATCACCGCTGTAGATTATGTTGAGGGGGCAGAGAACAGAGTATAAGGCAGGAAGGAAAAGTAAGAAGCCTCTGAGAAACTACTAAATATCACCTTTCTTCCCAGTTGGAACTTTGATTCGAACAGCACTTTTCTCTTGTCACAGGCTATGGTTGGGAAGAATTGGGCCCATTCATAGTTTTTGAATCATGCTTTAAAATGTAAGAGGAGATGGAGAGGTGGCTCAGTGGTTAAGAGCACCCCTGCTCTTACAGAAGACACAAATTCAGTTTCCAGCACATGCATAGTGGCTCGTAGCCACCTGTAACTCTGATGAGGTGACGGTGATCAGTACATAGCATAGGAGCTTCGCTGAAGCAGCATCTAAGGAATCAAGTGAACATAAGAACACACACACACACACACACACACACACACTGAAGCATAATGGATTCCCCCAATCTAGGATGAGAGTCAGTTTGGGATACTTGCATTTAAGACCTCCACGTTTAGGACCGACCACGTGACAGACCAGAGTCAAAAGAAAGACCAATTACACGAATGCGGTTCAGCACAGAAGCATTTACAGGGTGCACTCCTAGGAATTTAACAACTTATTATAATGAAACGCCACAGACATATATATTTAGTTTAAGTGCACAAAAACACACAAGTTACATTAAAGTTCTCCACATGACCGATTTTTAGCACAGTCACCACAAAAATACCCATCAAGTATTCGTCAGGAATCCAGGTTTCAATATCAAGAGTCTGCCTGTACAAACGGGCGTCAGAACTGTCTGCTCTCCACACTCTTCTCGTCACGACTGTGGTCTGTGAACGCTTCTCCAGCTTTCCCTCGGAAGAACACTGAAGAGGTCCTATGGACTGTCCTCATGCCATTGCTTTTCTCCATTTACTACTTAGACCATCTTCATCCAAGGAATGATGGGACTCCCCCCAGCCCCCATTTTCTTTGTTCCTTTTCTAATATGAACATAGTGTATTTGGGGAAGTTTCATTAATGCTGAAATCGGTGTACTTTATTCCCAATAATGCTACGTCCTGTTTTCCTTGCCGAAGGGTACAAACAGTAGAGTAAAAAGTCGAGTAACACCGCTATTTCCAAAGTACTTCTGTAAAAACGAGTTTTCTCAGTTAACTGTCTACTAAGTAGTGCACGATTGCATCACACATTCTAATCTACAGGATGGACTTCTGAATTTCCTCCTAGGTTGGCTTTTATCAGTACACTAACACAATTTTAGTACAAGCCTCACAGCACCCCTGTGAGGTAGGAGCTGTTGACGGCCACTTTACCCGGGGATGGGGGGGGGGGGGTCTCAGAGAGGTAAGTAACCGGCTCAAGGTTACAAATTAAAAAATAACATCGGTTTTAAGGCAGACTGCATTTACTGGGCTCTCCTTCTAAGAATAAATACTGAGACAGACTCTTCTTTTCTTCAGGAAACAGCACTATGCAGGATCTAGAAAGAAGGGGCGATTTAAAGCCAACCCAGCCGACCCAAACGGAGAAGAGTTATTTAGTATCTGCCCAATACAGGGATTCTGCTAAAAACTGGGGCTTTTTTTCCCCAGCCATGTCTTCAAAAATGTTACCCAGCAGAGACCACTTACCTCAACACAAGAGGGCGACATTTGGCAACAAAGTATATCCTGCAACTCCTGGTTCAGCTTGGCAACCATCACACAAACCTCACTGCTTAAGGCAGAGACCAAGCTCCATTTTGCAGATGTGGCAAAAAGTAAAGTTGTTGTTCTTGTTCTGGAAAAACTTTTAATATATGAAGACTTTTTTTTTTCCCAAATGAAGAATCATGTCCTTAAACACCAAAAGCAAAACCAAAACTATCCAGGCTGCAGGTACAATCGTGCCCATCTGCCATCCCAGCACTTAGGAGGTTGACAGGGGACTGTTTCAAGTTCCAGGCCGGCATGGGCCACACAGTGAGACCTCACCTCGACACACCAAACCAGGTTGCAGAGATGGCTCAGTGCTTAAGGGCACTTGCTGCTCGGGCAGAGGACCTGGGTTCAGTTCCCACACCTCCATGAGTTCCAGAGGATCTGATGTCCTTTCCTGGTCTCCATGGACGCTGCATGCATGATGTGCACAGACACACATGCAGCTAAAACACCCAAACACGGAACATGAAGATAAACAGATCTTTTAAAAATCAAAACCAAGTAACAGCAGGTCCCATACCACTTACTACATGCCTCTCAGAACACTAGCTTTGGGGAACTTTTTGCATAAAATGAAACTAACATTTCTCCACTTCCTAAAACAATGTTATTGTGGACTGAGAAAAATTAATTTTTTTTTCTTCTCTCGAGTCACGGTCTTGCCATGTAGCTCCAGGCTAGTCCCGAATTTACAGTCCTGCCTGTCTACTGACAGCTGGGGTTACAGATGGGCAAGACCCAGCATTTTGTCTTTTTGGTTTAATATTAAAAGAAACTTTATAGATAAGGGGAAGAATCAAGTGAAGTGCTTAGCACTAAGGAACTTTGAGAACGATAGGAGTCAGGTGAACTAATATCTTTTTAAAGCTTACAGAGATAGAGTCCCTCTTATTTATTCTGTATGTGTCGGGGGGGGGGGGGGGGACCTGCATGCATGTATATGGGTGTGCGTACTCATGTGGACATGTGTTGAGGCCAGAGACTGGTAACACAACGTCTCCCCCAATCACTTCTCTACCTCAGTTTTTTGAGACAAGAGTCTCACTGAACCTGGAGCTCCTTTCTGCAGGGCTGGCCTGAGAGCACCTGCCATCTTCCTGCCTCTGCCCCACCACCACCAGCATGGGGACTACAGACTCCACACCTAGCTCTCACTTCACGTTCAAATTTGTGAGCAGCAATCATGTTACTGAGCGATCTCCCCAGACTCCACGCATGGCTCCATTTTATTTACCGATATATGTTTATTAACTCTTTGAGAACTTTACACATATAGTTCCACTTTAAATAGACATGAGCTGTAGGCATGTCTTCTGGCACCTCTCCAGATGGTCTTGAGCTGCTACACCCACTTACCTACCCGCAAAGTAAATCTCTGTTCCTACCCTTTAGCTCTAAAAGGGCTTCTTGTGTGTAAGACTAATGACTTGGTACGCAGGGAAGATTATAGAGAAGTTGAAAAGTTTTAAATGGGAATTGTTAGGTTCTTTTATATCTGTGAAGGCTAGGGAGAGCTGGGCATGGGGAGCACACCTATAATGCCAGTGCTTGGAGGTAGAGCAGGCAGATCATGAGTTTAAGGCCATCTTCAGCTATACAGTGTTTGGGGCCAGCCTGGGCTAAATGTGACTCTCTATCTCAAAAAAAAAAAAAAAAATTAAAAGTAGGGAATATATCCTAAATAGCTTAAAAATACATGAAATCAGGATTCAAGTTTCTATAAGGTTAAATCATTGAAGGTAGTATGGCTGAATACTGCTTTGATAAATTACTAGTTTAAGATTACATATAATTGTAACCCTCTCCCCAAACAGCATACTTGTTTAACCAACACCCCAATACAATAGGTCCTACCACTAGCTCAATTTTGCTCTCAACACATAGGTCTTGACCCTAGAGGCTAATTCTCTAAGTGAGAAATTCAACTTCCTTAAGGCAGTGCCCACTAGGGTTCTTCACCTGGCCCTCCTAAGTCACCACTTGGAAGCCTAGCTGGTGGTGCAGCCCAGAATCCCAGCACTAAGGAGGCAGGAGAGGAAGGTGGCGAGTCCAAGGACGGCATGGGCCGTAGAGCAAGAATGTCTCAAAAGACTAAGAACAATGGAGCTGCCACTTTGGTGTGGTGTGTGGTGTGCATGTGTGGGGTTTTGTCTGTTTGAGACAGGGCCCCACTATGTAGCTCTAACTGGCCGAGAACTCACTATGTAAACCAGACTGGCCTTGAACTCACAAGAGATCAGCCTCATGAGTTCTGGGACTAGAGGACCCTAAAACTACTACTTTGTTATTCACCTGAACTTACTATTTACCCAGGGAAAAACTTGTTTCAGAATTAGCTGGATTACTCTGGGCTCCTCACAGCCAGAGGTGGTGGGACCTCTAAGCAATGTCTTCAGGGGTGTTCTATGGGGGGGGGGGTAGCTTAGACACTGCATGTGGCTAAAGTCTAAGCACGACAACAACATTTATTAGATGTACTCAAGTATCTGTGGGATGGCACACGCCCACGGTCCTGGCCACTCGGGAAGCTGAAACAGAGCTTAAGGCCGACCTGGGCAAGACTCTTGTTTCCAGGCTGGGGGGTGAGGGGACAGGACCATCTCAAATGCCCCTCAAATGCCTGTTGAAGCTCAGACTCTAAAAGGGAAAGGAAGAGGAGGGGGCTGTTCCGCAGTCTTTCTTGCCTTCTTATCCTTGAGTACGAGCTTCAGATTTAAACACTTCAGAAACAATGAAATGTGATGGGCTATTTTCTAGGTACAGAAAATCCATCACTTAGTCCATCAACTTCAATATTCCTGGGGTTTTAGGTTTCTAAATGGCACCGCTGTAGAAGGGATGATAAGTATATTCACAGAAGGAGAGCTGCCAGCGTGGATTTAAATAGGTCTGGAATCTGAATGGATCTACTTCACTGGTTCTACTAACAAAAAAGTGAAAGCCACTGCAAAATTACCTTTAAGAGTGACTTTCAGAGAACTACCGTCAGCCCAGACAGCCCAGAAGATTCTGCTACGTTAAGGTAGAGAGAGGATTTGTACCTGTTATTTTCCTCTTTAAACTCAGGTAAACCTCGTTATAAAATCTGAAACTGTTCTTCCGGTGTCTAAGGACACACTGTGGATGTGGTTACCCGGCCCAGGGTTAGTTCACGGACCTGCCTCTGTGCTTAGTTATGTGGATGGACCGGTTTCTCTGTTCACGACTTCTTTACCACTGACTTCTCCAGCCCTTTATTTTAGCTGACATATTTTTATCAAAAATGAGGTATACTTGATGTTAAGTAAATAAAAGGCCATGTAAGAGGTTGGGATGCCAGGAAGTAGAGAGTTAAAACTACTTGTGATTTGGTATAGCCATGTCTTAAAACAAACTTTTTATACATTATAATATATAGTTATACATTGAAATAACTACTGATTTCCTATATGGCAGAAAATATTTAAAAATCATTTTCTTTTTCTTTTTCTTTTTGGTTTTTTCGAGACAGGGTTTCTCTGTGTAGCTTTGCGCTTTTCCTGGAACTCGCTCTGTAGACCAGGCTGGCCTTGAACTCACAGAGATCCGCCTGGCTCTGCCTCCCAAGTGCTGGGATTAAAGGCGTGCGCCACCACCGCCTGGCTAAAAATCATTTTCTTAAGGACATATTCCTATGAAACATGAGACAAGAGTAACAGCTTAGAAGTGGGTTTGTGTGTACGTGTGTGTGCTCTGGAGACTGAACCTAGGGTCTCACCCATTCTAGAAAGCCCTCTATGGATGACCTTCATTGCCAGTCTCTAAAATATTCTTTAACACAGATCTCATCTGCTTCATAGTCAAGTTCATTTTACTGATTCTGCAACCTGGAAAAACAAGAGATTTTATAAACAATCAGTCACTCTAAAGTTTCTACATTAACTTCTGGTTTTCAAATTATAATTTATAAAAAAGCTTATGGGATAATTTGAAAGTCATGTTTAATATCCATGTCTTATAAGAACTGGTATGCACAACCTCAAAACCAGGGACAGATTATTTTAAGTCAACAGACCATGAGAAGGTAAATAATTTATGAATTAAAAGCGGTGTATGAATCTTTTCCAAGACTGGTATAAAAACTCTAAAGGAGAAGCTGCTACCCCACAAGGATGGCGTCCACACTCCCTTGTGTGAGCTCCGACTCTAAGGCACAAGGCAAGTCTAAATGTTCTTGTGACAATCGAGAACCTTTCGGGGGGACATCAGGCCAGCTGTCACAATACTGCTGAAACCTCTGGGCCAATGAATTTCCAAACCTTTGGCATCTGTTATATCTGTAAGATTTACCTTTATGTGTATACATGTGTTCCAGTAACTGGCTTTTTCGAAGAAATTTATGGCCACAGATGGTACAACTGATTTTTCTTTTTCTTGAAAAAGAAAAATTACAGTTTAATTCTACTGGCTCGGTGTCTTTGGAGATCAAAGATACTTGACTGATCTGTAAAGGCTCTGCAGTAGCTCGGCTGGAGTGCTCAGGCGGCGGCGGCTGCTGCTGCTCATTCTCCTTGACGATGAAGGAGCTAAGCCTCCGGCATTCAAGGGCCTCACTGCCATCACTAAGTGGATGCACTTCACCAAGGTCATTACTTTCCAAAATGGAAGCAGGGACACCAAATGGGAGAGATCCAGACACATGTGTGTGGAGGTGCTGTCTCAGGCTACTACGAGATTCAAAACGCTCCCCACAGTAATGGCACAAGTGGACCCTGATACTGTTTTCTGTAAAAGAGGGGCCAGTCACTTCTGACGAGGACGAGGAGTGGCCCTGGGAGATCCCAGACTCCGGATCACATCTCTCCTGTTTGATGGACACTGGGGGCTTCTGGTGCTCTTCCAAGGCCTGGGCAGCAGGATGGGCCCTCTGCTGCTCTGCACTTCCGTCATCTAGGCCAATCGCAAGAGAGAGCTGCAGCTGGGGGTGGTCACTGTGGACAGCAGCTCTGTTTCCACTGCTACTGGGAGGAGTCTCTTTGATCTCCGGCCCTTGTTTGACAGCTGGTTTCTGGGTTGTGGAAATCTGAATACCGTACAGATTTGAGGTCTGCACGGTCTCTGGAGAGAACACTTGATTCATTTCAGTTGCAATGTGGGAAAGGTAGTCAGCATGGAGAAATCGGATCCCTTCCTCCAAACGACTATGATCCACAATCTGTTTTGGCCCTTTTCCTGTGTACATAATATGTAACAAGTAGCTGAATATATCGGGCTGGATGTCAGTTGGTTGTATTTTTATGCATTCACTGTTAAAAAAAAAACAAAAACCCAACACAAAATGAAACACAGCCTAGTTGGCCTTTTGGTTTCTAGCAATCTTAGGTTAAAACAAATTCTTCCTCAGATGTTTAAATCTGGCAATCTGCCTTGATGAAATACAATAGGAAAAAATCAGTCTCTGATTTTAACTACTTTTATGGGCCACTCACAAACCTTTGTGCATCCAATCTACTGCCCAGCACCAGGAAACACAGACAGATATTCAGATTAGTTCAACACTAAGCAGTGCCATCTATTATTCTAGGTGACAGAGGATAGAAAAACCAGTGACTAGACTAGGTGCTTGCTTTTATATTGAACATACAACTCGAGGAACTAAACACAGAAACTCAAAAGGATACCTAAGTGCTGGGGTTCACTGCAGAACTGTGCACAGTAGCTAAAAGCTGGAAACGACTAAATATCCATTAAAAGACGAACAGAGCCGGGTGTGGTGGTGCAACCTTTACCCCAACACTTGAAAGGTCAAGACAGGCTTGAGTTTGAGAATGGCCTGATCTAAGTCGGGAGTTCCAGAACAGCTAAGGCTACTAGACAGACCCTGTCTCGAAAAAGAAAGAATGAATAAACAAAATGGGGCTGTAAATACAATGCTATGTTTTTCTACCATAAAAAAACAATAAAGTTCTGGTGTGTGTTATAACAAGGCTGAACTCTAGAAAACATGCTAAATAAAAAAGCTAGACAAAAAAGTCCAAAAATTGTATGTATGGTACCATGTCCATGAAATAGTTAAAACAAAGCTGGGTACGGTGGCACATGCCTTCAATCCCAGCACTCACCTACAGCCAGGGATACAAAAAGAAGCCCTGTCTCAACAAAACAAACAAACAAACAAAGAAATACTGAAGACAAACACATTTCAAGAGACAGAACTGGGCTGGAGAAATGCCTCAGTGGTAAAAACAACACTCGCTCTTCTTTCAGAAGACCTAGTTTTATCCCCAGCACCCACATGCGGCTCACAGTTGTCTGTAACTCCAGTTCCAGGGGACCCAATGCCCTCTTCTGGCTTAGTGGGCATCAGGCATGCAAGTGGAACACAGACATACATGCAGGCCAAACCCCCATATACAAGGGACGGGGCAGAGCCATGCGGGGTGGGGAAAACCCACAGGTGGCTGAAGGAGAATGGAAAGCTAGCGCTTAACAGGTGCAATGTCTCTGTTGAGGGTGATGGGAGTGTTTTGGAAACAAAGATAGCTGCAGGTATAACACTATGAATGTAATCACTGCCATTAAGTTGGATGGTTTAAAATTGTTAATTATAATGAGACCCTATCTCAGAAACCAAAGCCAGGGGGGCTGGAGAGATGGCTCAGTGGTTAAGAGCATTTACTGTTCTGGCAGAGAACCTAGCTTCAGCTTCCAGCACCCATATAGCAGCTCACAGCATGCAGGCAAAACAATCATATACATAAACAAACAAAACGGCAATCAAACAACCAAAAGCAAACCAAACCAAACAAAAATATTCATGTTTTTAAAGGAATCTAGTAAAATTATTAACATTTAAAATGTAAATGATGCTAAGTTTATTTGGCTTCTAAATCGTTAAATCACAAATGAATACAGGTATAAATTTTGAAAAGAAACACAATTTGGTTACTAAATAGAATAACAGAGTAAATCTCTGTAAAACTGGAGTAGAAACAGCCAAAGGAAAATAATGCCCATGAAGAAACAGTGGACAGCATCAATGGACTCAGTTTCCCTGAGCAGAGAAGCCTGTTCTCCGAGTCAGAATGCCTGGGATCCAGCATACTGCAGTCTAGTTCCTCTAGTCCTAGACTTTGGGATCCTTGCTGCCTTCCTCAGGTTTTACTCTCTTTGCTCGGCGCTGTCTGTTCACTGGTATGTCCTGTGACAGGCATTTTTGGGGGTATAAATTCGGAGGAGTTTAGCTGCTCAATACAAACACAACCCAGGGCAGGCCTCACTTTCACAATGCCTATGTTTGGACAGCACCTAGCTCACCACAGGGGCTTTAGAAGCTCACAGATTCTAAACTCACAAGTCACAGTCCAGAGGCTGAGGGGACATAGCATTTGTAATGCGGTGAATGTGATCGTCAGTGTCGCATCACAGACAAACCTTCTCTAGCAGAAAAGACTTCCCACTGCCTGGCTGACATTCCAACCCATCTTTGTACCATGCTACTTTTTTTTTTTTTTTTGGTTTTTCGAGACAGGGTTTCTCTGTGTAGCTTTGCGCCTTTCCTGGAACTCACTTGGTAGTCCAGGCTGGCCTCGAACTCACAGAGATCCGCCTGGCTCTGCCTCCCGAGTGCTGGGATTAAAGGCGTGCGCCACCACCGCCCGGCCTGTACCATGCTACTTTCTAGTCACCTCATCTACTCTGTCGTCTGGGGGCCAAGTCCGCTTCATACCCACAATGTTTTTACAGCACTTTTGTTTCATTTGGGGTTTTTTGAGACAAGGTCTTACTATGTGGCCCGGGCCTGACACTTGCAATATAGCCCACAGTAATCCCCCTGACTCTGTTCCTCAAGTGTTGGGATTACAAGCATTGGCTAGTAAACCCTGATCCATGCCACCGCCCCTCTGACTGCAATACACCTCCTTATATTCCTCTGCAACACCTGAAGGACTCCTGATTTTTCAGACTTGTAAACTCTGTTCCAACTTCTCAAAACAGGCCTGTGAGAACTCTTCTACTTTGAATACACTCTGACGTTACCACCACATTAATAACAGCAAAGCTCTATTCCTAACGTTTTTGTTTTCCAAGACAGGGTTTCTCTGTGTAGCCCTGCCTGTCCTGGAACTTGCTCTGTAGATCAGGCTGGCCTCAAACTCGGAGATCTGCCTGCCTCTGCCTCCTGAGTGCTGGGATTAAAGGCCTCTGCCACCACACCTGGCTGTTCTAGGCATTTTAATGTTACTAATCCATTTAATCTCTCAGTACCCAAAGGAGAGTACACTATTCTGGCATTTAACAGCTAAGAAAGCCAAGAGTTAGGGTGTGGATCTGAACCATCCTCTGAAAGCTCCTTGTCACAGACTTGGTAGCCAGCGGATGGGCTTTGAGGAAGTGACTGAGTCGTGAGGACTCGGGCTTCATCAGTGTGTTAGTCCACTCACGAGTCACACTGTGACGGCATTACTGGCAGGTGGACGAGGACTATTCACCTCGTCCCTGACCTGTCTGCACTGCCACTGCTGTCTTCCTGCCTATTATGGAGTGGGCAGATTTTCTGTCATGCCCTTCTTCCATGGTATCTCTGCCTTCCTCATCTTAAAAGCAAAGCAGCCAGCCAGTCACGGTGGACTGAAGCCTGAGACTGCAGAGACTGCAGCCCAAACAGTCCTTGTTTTCGTAAGCCTTTTGTCACAGCACTGAAACGTGACTCACACAAGAGAGGCCAATTATTTGCTTTATATTTAATTCTCTATCAGACTACCGATTTCCTGAAGACAGCGAAATTACTATGGTCTAGCTCAATCTCTTAACATATGTACTTAGAAAATATTTAAATGACTGAACAATTAAATAAAAATTATGTAATTAAGGTTTGACACCTCAATTTCATGTAAGGTCCTTTAAAAACAAACAAAACAACAACACAACAAATATACATGGAACCAAGTCTGGTGGCTTGGGCCGATAGCCACAGCTACTCAGAAGGCTGAGGCAGGAGGACCTTAGTGAGACCCTATCTCAAAACTTGGATAAATAAATAGATAAATAAATAAATAATGGGTGTTCTAGGATGGACTAAAGCCAGACTAAAATTAATCTTTTCCCAGAGCTAAGAATTTGAATTCCCATGTTACTTAAATTTTAAAAAATGCAAAGGAATTAAAAGCAACAAAACAAAACGAACACGCGAAAGCAGTGACCTCTGACTGGTGGTGTGGAACACGGGAAGGTACAATGTGGTACCGCAACACTGCTACACTAGCAATCAATAACCTGGCACTTCAGACAGCTCCATCTGAGCCCACCTCATCAGCTGTTTACTCCTGGATGGACCAGTCAGTAGCTCAGGCTCAGTTTCCTTTCCCCTAAGACCCGGACAACAGTGGAATTTACACTATTGGATTGGGTACTGGTTAAACCTTTTTTGCTGGTGATGTTTTTTCAAGACAGGGTCTCACTAGGTAGCCTTGGCTGGCCTGGAACTCACTCTGTAGACAAGGAGGCCTCAAACTCTAAGATCCATTTGCCTTTCCCTCCCAAGCAGTATGATTAAAGGTGTGCACCACCACACCTGGCTGGGCTAAGTCTTAGTCAATTTTAGTTATACTGTTGTCATTAATATGTTCTACCATAAATACTACGTACTGAGTTTAATTACTCATATACAAAAATTAATTAAAATTTTGTATTAGGATAACCCCACAACAACCCCTTAAATGATTTTATAGTAAGACATATACATCACGATATTAGAAATTCTTCCATCTACAAGAACGCCTTCTTACCTTGTTTGGTGAATAAATATCATCTTGAAGTAGTTGGAAAAAGCAGCAAGCACTGCTCTGTGGGCTTTGAAGTAAACATCTCCAATTGCAACTGTGCAGTCGCACAGGAAACCAAACTCTCGCTGCATGTTCAGCTGCTGCAGAAGGACAAGGCTGTGGCTGGCAGTATCCATTGTGGCTCTGAGAAAAACCAACAAAAATACGTATGCTTTGGATGTATAGATAGGTCTATCCATATATAAATGTTTACACACACACACACACACACACACACACACACACACACACACTATGTGTACAGTGTTCTGCCTGTACACCAGAAGAGGGCACCAGATCTCATTATAGATGGTTGTGAGTCACCGTGTGGCTGCTGGGAATTGAACTCAGGACCTCTAGAAAAACAGCCAGGGCTCTTAACCGCTGAGCCGTCTCTCCAGGCAGGCCCCTAAGGCCTAATTTGAAATGAAGATACTCACCACTGTTAACTTCACCCCCTATCTAACATTAAAGCCTTCCATTATGACACCTGAGAGAAACTCTACCAAACAGTAAGACACGGTCATTTTTACCCAAGTAAGAAGGTAGCTTTGCGTGAGTGATACATGAGTGAAAGAACCGCTCATCCCTTTCTGTGTAACCATGTCTCTTTTCTGTGTATATGTACTTGATCAGACCCAGGGCCTTGCACAGGCTAGGCAAGCCCCACCCTACTTTCCTCATGGTTCTGGAGATGAGCCTAGGACCTCATCTACACCAGGTGAACACTCCACTACTGAGTTCTACCCCATCTTGTGATCCTTCCTTCTTTCTCTCTTTTTTGGTTTTCTGTGTAGCTCTGGCTGTCCTGGAACTCTTTTGTAGACCAAGCTGGCCTCAAAACTCACAGATCTGCTTGACTCTGCCTCCCGAGTGCTGGATTAAAGGCATGTGCCACCAATGGCCAGCATGATCATATTTCTAATGATGTTTCCTCACTGGAGAGATGGAAATGAGATACTGATGTGTGGCCCAGAGTTAGAGGAGGTAAGTGAAAATTGGGTTGCAATAGAAACTGCTACTCAAATATTACTTGTAAGTGGGAATAACAGGGCATCCTACCTGGCTGCATCCTAACCTATCTCTCCAGCCTAGTGGGCATCCATCCTACCTGGACTAGAACTGTTTCTTTGGAGATCCTCTGGCATTCAGGAGACACTGGCCTGCTGGCTGTCATAAAATGTGTGAAACTTAGCCATACCCCAATTTATACGGGGCCTGGGAGCTCATGAGAAAGAACCTATAACCTGATCTCATCTAAGCTAGACTCAGAGATATACCTGGATGCAGATTCTCCATGGTAAGAAAATGGAGATACAGCAAATGAGCCTCAAGGGGAAACTGCATGAGGATGTGCAAGCCAGTTCTGGCCAAGACAGACTGTGTGACTGTGAGCAGCAAGGACACAGCCAAGTTAGTTTCAGGCAGACTGTATTTCATCACCACCTCCACCCTAGCTATACCAACAGTCTTGGTGCCATGTACCACTCATGTACACACATATGCAAACACTAAATAAACTACAGGAAAATTTTTAATATGTGGTATGTGTGTTTGGGTACAAGCATGCCACAGCACACAGGTGGAGATGAGTGAGAGCTAGGAGAAGTGTCATGGTTCTTTAATTCCAGCATGTAGATCCAGGGGTTCAAGCTCAGGTTGTCAGAAGCATCCTACTGCTAGGTCATCTCAGTTAAAAATGCATTATTATTATTATCATCATTATCATTATTATTATTATTATTACTCTGTATGGGGGCATGCACAGCAGGGGTGCGCATGTGAAGGTCAGAGCACCATGTTGTAGAATTGGCTCTCTATTACGTGGGTTCCAGGGCTCAAACTCAAGCCATCAGACTTGTACAGCAAGTGCCTTTATATGCCAAGCCATCTTGCTGGTCCTTCCTCATGTCACAAAAAAAAAAACAAACAAAACTTTCAGCATCACTGAAATAATTAAACAGGAGCTACAGAACCTTGAGCCTATGCTCTAAATAAAAACACAACTGCAAACTGTGGGCATTATTCTAAGAGGTTATTTGAGCAAAAGTTACTACTTACAATCACCACATTTGGTTCGAAAACACCACCAATTTACAAGCTGTTTTTAAAAGCTCTATATTTGAAGTTTCAGCATACAAAAACTCTTTAGAATCAATAAAAGGACTCCAAGTGTAATACTTTAACTCAGATGGAAGGGGAAAAAAAGCTTCACAGAAACTGCCACCAAATTCTTGGATCAGGCATTTGTACCAGTTTTTCATATACATACATACATATATATATATATATATATATATACACACACACACACATACACATATGTATATACACACATATATGTGTGTGTACATACATATATATACACACACACATATGTATATACACACACATATATGTGTGTATATACATACATATACATATACACACACACACATATATATACACACACACATATGTATATATATATACACATATATGTGTGTGTATATACATACATATATGGTGCATTGGCAATGACTAGCTATTGAGCCGTACAGAAATGAGAAACAGCACAAAAAAGCTGCAATGCAAAGATCTCGTGGTTAAAGGCTGAGTGACAGTTAGAATTTTCATTTCTTCAGTAGATACTCACTGAAACACACACACACACACACACACACACACACACGCACGCACGCACGCACGCACGCACGCATGTTTTGTATTAGGCTACAGACAGAAAAAAATGACAGTCATAAATGCCAAGTCAAGAATACAGGCTATCGAAAAACCAAAAAAAAAAAAAAAAAAAAGAATACAGGCTAAGCAAGGAGCTAAAACACAGAATCATCATCATATTACGAGAGTACTGAAGTGCCACCAGGGCAGCTGGAGATAAGTCCAGAGAACACGGTGAAAGTTAAGATGTTCACACTGGTCTTACTTCAACAGGCAGACAGATAAAACAGTAACTTTACTGGGAGGGGTGTGATATTCTGCTATCAGAATTCAATTCAGTCTAGGTGGGGGAAATAACGGGCTGGCTCGGCTCACTGCGGACACCAAGTACAAGCATACCCCAGCTGTACCTGAAGCTGCCCCGGCTGCGGGAAGGAGCTACGGCAGACACTCCTGGAGGACACCACTGTCAGCTACTCATTCTGCGGCAGGAAGAGCAGAGTACTGAAAGCCTCTGAAATCCAGTGACTTAAAGAGTTTCAGCTCTGCCACCAGGTCTGTGGTCTTGACAGGACACTCAACTTCCTGGGCCTCAGTTTTACTGACAGAATACGGAAAATGGCAGCATCTTCCTGAGAGCTGTCATGTGAAGACAGGTGTGGAGGCACACACCTGTAAGCACTCAGGAGACTGAGGCAGAAGGGTCTGGAGTTTAACGCCAGCCTGAGCTACATAGTGAGACTTTGTCACTGAGGGTGTGTAGGGGGAACAAGAGGCTGAATAGAATTTTTTTTTTTTTTTTTGGAGTTAACTTACTTTTTTTTTTTTCTGGAGCTGAGGACTGAACCCAGGGCCTTGCGTTTGCTAGGCAAGCTCTCTACCACTGAGAGGCTGAATAAATAAATTTAATAGTGGAACCCATAGTAAGTGTTCAGTAAGTACTAGACCAACAGTTCTCAACATGTGGGTCGTGACCCCCTTTTTTGGGGGGCTCAACACCCCTTTCATAGGATTCACCTAAGACCACCGGCAAACACAGATATTTGCATTGTGATTCATAACAGCAGGAAAATTAGTTATGAAGTAGCAATGAAAATAACTTTATGGCTGGGGCTCACCACAACATGAGGAACGGTATTAAAAGCTCACAGTGTTAGGAAGGTTGAGAACCTCTGGAGCAGACAGATCATCACCAGGTCTGTCAGTCAAGGAGCCAACTAGGAACCACGGAATGGCAGTGAGAAGAAAGAGAGAACACAGGAGACAGAGCAGCAGCCACAGAGCTGACACAGCTTGGCGGCAGACCGGATGCAGTCAACCACAGGCTGTGAGGTAAAGGTGAGTCTCAGAACTCTAGGCCGGGTTACTAGAAGATGTCATTTACTTCCTCAGAAAACATTTTCAGAGTAACTGCCATGTTCTCGGTGTTGACAGAAAGGTACAGCACCAGAGCTAGCCACAGGCACTGGCTTAGTAGAGGTTTCTTAGCCGGTGAGTTCAAAGCGTCTGCTCCAGGAAAAGGAAGTAGAACTGTTAGGGTGAGGAGTGGAGGCAACTCTAGAAGCAGCAGCGTCAAGAGGGGGAGGCCTCTTTGACAAGACTGAAGTTTCTAAATGCGTATGGAGCTATACAGTGAGACCAAATTGAGAAGGAAAAAAAAAAAAAGTCTTAAAAAGCTCAGTATGAGTCGGGCCCGGTGGCAGAGGCCTGCTGTGATCAAAGCTACCCTGGATACCAGGGCATGGAGGTCACAGGGTGTTCAAGGCTCACCTGGGATAGAACATAAGCTTAAGGCCAATTTGGGAAACTTAGACCTTCCTTGTGCCAAAATAAAAAATAATTTTTAAAAAGGGGTCTAGATAGTGGTAGAGGACTTGTCTAGCATGCATGAGTTTCTAGGTTCACTCTAATACAAAAAAAAAAAAGTATGACTCCTTGGAAAACAGACAATAAAACAAAATAGAGACCCAGCGGTGACAGCAGAAACTTTAAATCCTAGCACTTGGGAGGCAGAGGCAGGAGGATCTCTGAGTTCAGGGCTAGCCTGGTCTACAGAGTGAGTTCCAGGACAGCCAGGGCTGCACAGAGAAACCCTGCCTCCAAAACAAACCAAAGAGGAAAACACCGGAACTGAGGGAAGGCAAAGGAGGTGAGGAAGAGAAGGCAAGACCCTTGGGAGAGGAGGGCACAGTGTGACCGGGAGAGCATGTGACCTCCCACAAGCGCAGGCAGTGGCCAAGGCAAACTTTCTGATTCAAGAGTAGAGACAAGAAGGAGACAGTCAGGAGGACTCTGAGCAAGCTGCAGATCTGAGCTCTGGGTGGAAGGAAGGCAGGCCCCAGAGGAACCTGGAGTTAGCTGGAGGGAGCTCTTTCCAATAGCAGAGATGACTGAGGTTGGAGGGTCTGAGCATTTAGTTCACAATGAAGTTGGGCCATATGGGAAGGGAAAGGGGACCTGAAATACTAATAGAGGATTAGACT